AATTCACCTTAACAGTAGTTATCTAGTCTTTCATATATTTAACAGATTTTCTTCCATCAGGTTTAAATGAAACCTTATGGTAGCCACTTTGCTCTATCCACCAAATCAAAAGCCTTCACCTTCACTATGCATGTCAGTTCTCTACCTGACATCACCAAGAAGTCCAGGTAAGTTTGCATAAGTAGGGCCTTCATGAAAAATCATGCAATTACATCATTTGGCATAATTTTTATTGAAGTGAGTAAATGTCCTTTGTCTGATCAAGCCCATATGGTGCTGATTAATCATCACGTATTTAACATGGATTCTTACTCATCAATCATTTGCATTAAACCATGAAAAATTTCCTTCTGCTTCATTTTGGATGTGAGAAATGTTCCTGAATCATATACAGTAACATCTGTAGCATATATAGGCATAAAGTATTGCTCAGCTATATTATGAATGCATAAAGACAATGACTGATAAAAAAAACCAACCTCCATAAAAGCAGGACTGGTAATACAAATTCAGTCACGAAATACACACCAACTCCAAATGCTATGGCAAGTCAAATTCACAAGTTTGATTCTCATTCAAGTAAAAAGACGCTGAACATCGTTTCCAAAACAAAAGTTCTTGATATTTGTCTGCATTTCCACTAGAGAGTATGGCAGTCAACTAGACTTACCAGCATGGTAACATGAAAGATATTTGGAACACTTTCATATGCAGACGAGTTTATCCATTCACAACCATTTGTTACAACGTTCAATGAAAACGCTAAACAAATCAGAAATGAAGAAGCTATTTTATATACTTATATTTAGAACTTGCATCAGTCATAATTCCCTCTTGCAACCTGTTAGAATTGTTAATCAACAAAATCTCTAGAGACTGAAGATTAACTAATGGTGTTTTCCATGCATGTTATGTCACAGCTTTCTGACAAGTAATTCAATTACAAATATACTGCAGCAATGAAACTAGTCTTCTGCCTTAAAAAGTTTAGACACAGTCTTGTCATTGATTAATGGAAAGGGAAGATCTGTTTCATTCTATGTTACTAAATTCTTCAACATGCTCAGGTTTCCTAGTACTACAAAGTGCTAAATTTGGGGGTTTTGCCCCAAAGAATAGCTAAGTGTTAACTACCTATTCAAGTAAGATCCACATTACTTTTTTGTTGTTCTGCATCAACTGGTTTTACCCTTGCTCTTCAGTGTTTCATTCCATAAATAGTGAAGAAGACAAAACACATAGTGTAGATTCAGTAATATAAATGAAGAAGTTACTAATTAAAATTAAAAACTGCCAAACACCCCTATGATTTGTTCTACTTTTATAGCTAATACCTGTAGACTTTAGAGCCAGGAGAAAAAAAGATGTGCTTCCAGGTTTAAAAATATTTACTGTGTGAATGAAGAAATAACTATGTACAAGCACAAGATAATATAGAATACATTGTCTGAAATGACAGAATCTCAGATCTTCAAAACTGAGGGAGAAGAGAGAGATATTGATTCTGCCTGGATTAACAGGAAAAAGGCATTAGCTATTTTTTATATCTTTTCTCTATTAGGATTTGGAAGGAAAGGTCAGGAAGCTGTTGTGGTGGCAGAACCGGTGGTGAAGTTAGTGGATATAAACCACAGTATGACCTGAAACCTCAGTCTTTCTGACATTTAGAAGTAATGGTATTTTGTACAAAAGTACAACAAACATTTGCTTTCTTAATGACAGCCTTAAAGAGGACAATATCTCCTATTTTCATATGTCTAGGAGCTTAATTTATATCCTTTTTCACAGATGTATTAATATGCATGAATGATGATGCTATATTGGCTAACAACATTAGCTAAAATGACAGCTGCCAAGCTGGTATGTTACAGAAATTTGACACTACAAATCTCAATATAAATAACTATAACCAGTGTTTCCTGGTTCACACAGAAATGTTAGAGGAGCACAGTTTCACTTCAGATTATTAATCTGAACCCCGGAATACTCTCAAGTCACATTTCTCCATTTAATTTAATTTAACTAAGTTTGCTCGTCAGTAGCCCTAGGATTCATTTTTCTCTACTTAATGGAAAACAAGATAGAGACATCATTTCCAAAGGTGATGTAGACCAGGAATTTTTATAGTGTATTCTGCATTTGTTCTATTTTCCTTCTGGATACAAAAGGCACCTAAGGATACTGCTAACTGAATGACTTAGTTTGGTGAGACAGTTAAAACCAGGCCACCTCCTCTATATGCTTACTAGGTTCTTCATAGCTCTCATCTCCAAAAGATGGATGCATAAAAAAGGTAGTTCAACAAACTTTGTCTTTAAACTTAACATTACACTCACACACTTGCTGTGGTCACTGGGCTGACACACTTTCAAATTAAGATGATGGCAGATACGTAGTTTCAGTAAGAAAGAAGAGAGGAAGTAAAAAAATGCTCCTTCCCTTGTCCCTCCTGCTCAAGCCTCCCATCCCATCCTGCTTGATATATGTTAACATCAGGTTCCTTGCAGGCAAAAGTAAAATCTCAACTGCAAATTACTAATCAAGCTTGAACTTCAAATTTCTAATTCCCTGAACTTAAAGAAATATTATTCATTAAGAGAAAGCATCCATTTCACTTTATTTTACATGTCTAAAATTAAAGCAACCAACCTAAACTAGTCATCCAAGGTTCCTTCAACATTTAATGCCAGGCAAAGACAATTCAACTGTCTGACATCCAGTTGAAGATTAACTGAACCATCCAAGACAGTAGGTGTTTTCTTCTTTTTAATGACAACTTCGGGAAGCTAGACAATTTAACAAACCCTTAATTTTTAGGTGAATTCCACTGTAGATACATAGCTTTCAAGGCTAAAGTTAAGCAGCATGAATCTCATTCTGAAAAAAATATTCATAATACAACCAATCCTTCCCCAAATTAACTCTTCATTTTCATGTAATAAGTAAGCTGCACAAAGAATTGACTAAAGACTATGTGACAGAGGCTACGAGTACAGATGCCAGAGGGTAGGGAGTTAACTGGCTCAGATAATCCAAAAATAAGCATGGAAAATGCAAATGGAAAATTTTGAACAGTTGATGTTAATCTGCTGGATACAATGTTTTCCAACATAACATAAAATTTACTTTAAACTCTACTCCACTGCACTTTCATGGTCGAAATAGGCTAATTGCAAAGATAGCACATGTCCACTTATTTTAACAAGTCTTTCTGCCAAGTTCGAAGAAAAATATTGAAAGCTATGAGTAATTTAGGATTCTGTTAATTTCTTCCTCATAATTCTACTGAATGAGCTGCACCATATATTATTACTATACATTTTGTTCACTGTGGAAGTACTACCTGAACTTAGAGAAAATTAAAGCAAGCAAGTATAAAGTGTTTAAACTCTGAGGTATGGATTCTATGGGCAGTATCACAAATGGAAGACATCTGAATCCTACTGACATCTCACTTTAGGTGTTTAAAGTGAAGCTGAACTGGAGCTCCCATTGCAGACACCTGGGTTTGTATCCTAGGCTGGCTAATCCTGCACCTAAGGTGTTCTGCTGCTCATTAGAATAGGAGAGGTTGAATGAGATTTGACCCTGGGTTTTCCCCCTTTCAGCTTCACATGAGTTTATTGGTTCTCCTATGGTTACTACTCTTGATCCTGGTACATGTGATCAGACATTGTGAACCTAAGGAACATTTCTGATACATTCTGTTCCATACGGAGATATTAATGGCGAAAAATCCTAACTTGTTCAACCTGCCAAAGATACTGTGACAAGGCCTAGTTGAAAAAATTAACTGTCCAGGTATTTTGCCATGACTAAAGCCCTCTGTAAGAGAGAAGTAGTGAAAAGATAGGACACAATGAAATGCAGCATTTAAACACGCATATTGAAATAATTTTAAACACTCGGATAGCTTTAAAGACATTTACAGTCCCACTGCAGTGTTCTGATTGACTGCAGATTGCTGCAGCTATTTGGTTATAATTTCACCAGTCTGAAACATGACTTTTAGTAGCCTCGTGAACTTTCCTTAACAAAAAAACAAAACAAAACAAAACAAAAAAACACCCTTGAGGTAAAGCTAGTTCATACACAGAGGCCAGTTTCCTTAACATCCCTTCCCATTGCATGAACAGAGCAAAAAGCCTACAGCTGAAATTCTTGGGTAGTGACTCTGTCCAGAAGTGTTCTGAAGGACTAAATAATGCCATCCAGACTTTCATCAGACTGATCTCCTCTACAGGGATATTTTTTTTTAATAGTTCCTAGTAGTTCTTGTGTCTTACAACACCTCAATTCATATTTTTGACAGATCAGGCATTGGTACATGTCACCACAGACTATCAAGCCAATCCTACAGCCATTATAGCTGACAGGAGTTTTGTCATCAAGTCAAAGGAAGAGAGGAATAATTCTGTGTATCTAAAAAATCTCAAACCCGAGAATAGATTATTATCAAGGATGAAAGATATTTGATTATTGCTTATGCAAGTGAATTAAACTACTTTTGAACCAGAGATATCAAAATTACTACATAAATACTTGTTTCATATCTAGTAATTTATCATATGTATAAAACCAGCAAAGTAAAAGCAAGTAGGTAGGGAAATAAATACATAAATTGAAAGAAAGGCAAACAGAGCTTTTATGAAAGAAAATTCTTTAGATAAAGAAAATCTAGTAATATTTCTGCTGTAACACCTTATTGGCATATAGATGACAGTGATTCATAGCCAGCAATGAGATGATTGTGTTCAAGTTCCACTTGCCACAAATACATTAAGCTGTTACCCCCTCATGGGAATTTTGCTTTCTGTTTTAGATGCACAACTGCAAAAATATTGTCAACTTAGGCTACCAACGGAAGACAGTTTCTACGTGTGGAACATTTTTCATAAACTGTTCTGTTGTGGCCATCTAATTTCAATAATATCTGGTTGTACTTTGGCACTATATGAAAGAAGGGGTGTGATACAATGGAAGCTGCACTGAGAACTCACCTGATTCTGCCCCGAGGGCGTTCAGATTGCTCTGACATAAAACTTGTGCTGCTGAGGCGTGAGGCACTGCTGGTTCGGGAAATGGCTGACACATCACTGACATCACTATCTGATGATTTGGCAGAGACGTTATCACAACTTCTGTACTGATCTGTTTGTATATTATACTAGAGATCAAGAAAACAAAGGGTGAAGAGTCTCATCAAAACATAATGCATATATTGAGATAACATATAGCCTAAGTATGACAAGTCTCTCTAATGGCTTTTAGATCTAAGAAAATTGTATAAAATTCAGTGAAATGCCTATATTAAATAATGTCTTCATGTCTAATGAAAAAAACAAACATAGCATTTATGAAGTAAATTAAGACACTTGAGATAAATTACAACATTGGAATTCAAATCGGCTGTGGGTTCTTTACTACATGGGAACTATAATAATGAAATATTTACGCAATGGTCAGACATTCTCAAGCACAGGCATACCATCTATTTGGCTACAGCTCCTTTCTTCAATTTTAAAAATATTTTAAAACATGCTATAAAATACTTGTACGGAGTTAGTTTGGAACAGGAAAACTCTGTATGAGTCTGAATGAAATGTAATGCTACATGAAGCTGACTCTGGGGATTGATTTCAATATTTAAGTTCTATCTACCTCAAAATATCTCTTTGTATAGTGATAGTAGAGGACTAGTCAGGCAGAAAGGTAACTCAGCAAAATAAAGTGTTTTCAGGCAGATCACTTTCCTGATCTAATTGCTTTTTTACACGTACACATGCATGAGAACTATCAGAAGACCCAGCAGGAGAAACACGTGGACAGAGGCAGAAATTATTCCCCTTTTGCTAACAGCAGAACCTTTGATTACTTAAAACCAACTGTGACACCACACCAACTATTACATAATGCTCTTATTATTCACATCAATCAGACATACATAAAAGGAAGCTTCAATCCTAGCAATGTCACACTTACCTAAATCTTCAGTCACATAGGCATGAGGACCAAATCATTGTCAGGTTTACAAAACTATACCCCACTATATACTAAAAATGCAATGTATCCTTGCCTGGAAAGTGATTAAAACAGTACTACAATTCCCAGGACATATGGGAAAACTATTAACACATGGGAAGACTGGGCAGTTTCTGACATGACACCCTAGAAAAGTAATTCTATAAAGCATGGATACAGAACTTGACAAGTCATAAAGGTTTATTTATGAATTATACACAAAGCTACCACAGTCTGTGAATATCCCCAGCTCAACCAGGCACTGGGATGGAGGCCGAGTGAGCCAGCATATGTCATGTCTTGACTTTAAAAACCTGGCAAACACAAGGTCAGGTTTCTACAGATGATTGCATCAGGCCTTCTGTCCTTAAGCCAGGTTATTTTTTTCTTGCTCTGATGCCTTTCAGCAGCTGTGTCTGAGGTCTCCACAGCACACATGGACAGTGTATGTCAAGATGAAAATCTGAAAACAATTTATGAATAAAAACCTGGTGTTTGACTTGAGGAGTGTGCACTGAGAAAACTCAGCAATACCCTGTGAGAGGCTTGCACTGGCTGTCTGAATAAAAACACCCGTGGCAGACAAAGCTCTAGTTTACTAAAGGTAAATTTTCAGCCTGAAATGCTAAATGACACTCTGCAGATGATTTCAGAATAGCTTGGAGCATGATAACTTTGAGCCCAAACAACACGTCTAAAAGGCACTGACATGGACATGGGGACAGATGCAGCAGAACTCTGATTTATTATAGTGGGTAACAGGATTCAAGAACTCCAGTATTTAAAAATATTTTCAACAGTAGCAAGGATTAATTCGGAGACTCTCTTTCTAAGTGTCTTATCTGAATATGGATGACCAATGGGGTTAGATGAGACTATGTTGGTATGTTTATTCAGATCACCTCTTGGAATGGCTTGCAGAGTCTGTTAAATAATTTTGCTGCTTGCTTTCTTTCAGACTGCAAATAAATCTTTCCAAAACAGAAATGCAAAGCACCTCCATTCTTATTAACTGTTTCATAATGATGAACAATTAAATTTCTTTAGCTGACATATTTTTCTTAACTCTAAAAAAATTTCAAAGCAACAATAAAAGCTTTTACTTTTACTTAGTCTAAACTTACACATTCAGAAGCTGGAAAACTGAACGGTTAATGTCTTCCAGGTTAAGTTAAACTGCCTCACTCCTGCGCAAAATTCCCGCAGAACTCCTAATGGATCTTTTAAGCTTTCCCAAAATGAGGCATCTAAAAATATGGAAAGCATCTGATCATACAGATGCTCTGGCTTTCCACTGAACTAAGTAGAACTGCAATCTGAGAAAGAAATTATGATCCTGTTAAATAATAAAACTTCTGCTGATTTCAGTGAAACAGGGATTTCACCCTTCCTAAATATTTGAAGAATATCTAGAAATTATTCCTTCACAGATGAGGTTTTAAGAATACTTTGTTTAAAACATAACCATGTAATCTCTCTCAAAAACTTTTTTTTTTTTTAATGCATGGTAACAGAGTGTCTCAGAACTATCTCCATGGTATTTGTGTTTGTTAAAGACAACCTGACATCCCCCCTCCGTCATTATGTTCTCTAGGTACTTTTCTTCCTCACCAAAAAGTCCACATTCACTTTATGTCTCTTGGTTTGAGAGCGCATACAGCAATTCTGGAACGGCAGAAGGTGGTTCATGTGGTCCCTGAGGAAGCATGATGTGCTGCTGGAGAAGGCTGGTACAATCTGAACTCTCCCATAGGCTGCTGCCCTTTGTCCCAAGTCACACATGAATCTGGCTTTTTAACAATTTATTGTTCAACAGCAAAATAATAAAGTTGAACACAGTGGACTATGTATATCATGTGGGGCAGCAGACAACCCTCTGTTTCACTCATACTGAATCTGCCTCACCTTTCATGGCATACCTACATGGGATGGAAAAGATGAGGAGGAGAAAGAAAGCATGGTTGTCCAGCTTACTGGGTAGGATACTGGGAGAGAAGTCAGAAGTCCCAGATTGTGTCTCATTATCTGTTCAGGGACTCAGCCTCATTGAATGACTGTTCAGTATCAATATGAAAACATTTATTGCTGCAGGGTCTTCAGCCCTGGTATCAACCCTTGTAAGCAGGGGCTATGTAGGTATCTTCGCTGTCTGCTCTTTATAGTCCAGCAGTTTGTGCTAAAGGGAATTGTTCTGTAAATACCAGACTGGCTTAACAGCCAGTGTTTCATATGTTGGTAAACAGCGAATTTTATGGTGAGATGGGAGATGAAGAAAAAAAAACTGAGTCCACATCTTCTCCTTGCCTTGGTATTCCAATAACAGAGCTACTGCGTAAAGCATGAGGCAGTAAATGAGATTTTAATGGGATGGTTGAGCTTTTACTGCCCCTTTATACTGTATGCCAGGGCTGTGATTCCCCAGAAACTGAAACCTCTTCCCTTCACAGAAATAAAGATTAGCACAAAAAGTGGTGATGCTGAAAGTTAATGCTGAGTGCTACAGCTTTCCATTTTACTACTTCTGGATTTAGCTGTTCCTTCCTATAGCTGCTGTTTCTACTGAATTCACTGTCCACTACAGGAGGCATACAACTTTTCCTACTTATTCCCTACCCACCTTTTTTTAGTATAGTCTGATCATCAGTAATCTAAGCTAACAGATGAACAAAAAAAAAAGCAATTCTTAAGTTAATCTTTTTTTCCCCTCAGGAAGTAAATGGTACTTTTCCACAAAGCAATGATCATTAAAAGAAGAATATTGTACTGTTGCAATACACTTGAACTTATGATTTGGAAGAAAAATGTCATGGGCTAAGATCCACTTGCTTGGTATCTGCATTAAAGTAATGCTGGCAGATTTGCAACTAGGCTCAAAAGTAATATGATACAGTCCTGCTCATCTAGAAAACTACTGCTCTTCATAACTGCCTGTATTTTTAACAAATTTTCCTGTCATGTTATATTTAAGTATCATTTTGAAGCCTCAAAATGAAGTGAATTTCAGTGCAATCAGTTGTCTTTCAACACTATCTTACAGAGTTAAAGCTTATTTAGCATTTCTATTCCAAGTTGCACTATTTATCACATTAGGAGAGTTGCTGAAGTTTGCAGCAACTTTGAGAGCAATTACTAAAGAATAGGTCTGGTTTCTTAACCATTAATAGCAGCTAGCTTCAAACACCCTAAGTAGCTGCACTGTCTGCTTCCACGTTACAAAGATAAAGTTTTTTTGACAAGACTATCTGATACATAAACAGCTGCAATGCAGTTCCTCTGTTCACTTTACCACATGTGGAGTTGCTGCTGTTTCTACTCCAGAAAAAGGAGAAAAATAGGGGTATGATGAACTGCAGACGTGTCAACATCAGTGGAAAAAGCACAGACATAAACCAAAGGAGTGTACTTCATGAATACTTTTACAGTTCCTCGATGACTAACAATGTTAGCAGTTTTATTGATAAGGCACATTTTAAAAGTAATGTAATAGTACATTCTAATTATATTATCTTCCATATGATGAAGTATTTATATTTCTAGATTTAATTCCCAAACCCATGGAGAATACAATAGTTCAGAGCTTTGAAAATTGAAGGGCTATCCCCTCCTTTGACTACAAAAAAGCCTCAGGTGACTAACATCTGAAAATATGTGCCTCATTAAGTGCTTAAAATGAGGAAATTAAAGAAGAAAATTAAATGGGGATTAAAATGAGGAAATTAAAATGAGGAAATAGAAATCCAGACCAGAAACGTTAGGGGCTAGATTCATCCATGAGCTTATGCGTGTCTTGAGATCGCAGCTGCCTTCTGAAGCACCTTACTCAAAAGAGGAATTTGGTCAGGAGATGCTCAATCATGCACAAGGCACCCTGAGTTTTAGGGCTGCACACACAGGGTTCCTCCAAATGCCACCAGGGTTCACGACACAGCAGTCGGCACCTTAGTGCGTCCAAGCCTCATTTCTGACTCCTATGAGCATCTGTGCCTGTGTCTTAGGAGCAACTCTTCCCATAATTGTATCCAACTCTATTGTGAACACCACTCAAGTTCCTAACACGGCACAGCAAAAAGGAGCAAGTCAAATCGTGGGAAAACCACAGGAACTCGTGCAGCCCACAAGTTGAATGAGTGGACCTCACTGTGAAATCCTACCAATCCTGGAGTGACTGTCATATCATCAATATGATATATAGTAAATATTGTTTTCAAGGTGGATGAAAGCGAATAAAAAGAAGACACTCACCACATAAATGTCCAAGAGCCTTCTTTATACACAGCCCTAAGTGTCTTGCCCAGCCTCCCATAAGACTTAATAGCATCAGCCTCCTATCATCCTGAGTCTCCCATCCAGCTCTTCTTTGCAGACATTAACTATCAAGTTAAATTCAGAGTGCCACTGAACTAAAGCCATGATTACACTTCTATGCTAAACACTTTCCAATCACTCACAGTGTTAACTGAGTCAGGAGTGCATCTAAAGATAAACTGATGTCTTTTAAGCACATCAGTGCTCTGATCAGTAACTCTCTTGAACAAACAGACCTTCAAAAAACTGTGTTGTACATTCTCTGTAAAGCTGCAGCACGGTGATTGTGTTCTGTGTATGGCATCTGGAACAAATAATTTAGTGTATTTTGAATTAAGAGCCTAATTAATAGATACTGTAAGTTATATCTTCGCAAATCCAGAATTATATTATAAAAGTATTTTGATTTTCTCCAACACTGAAACATCCCAGGTATATGCATACTAGCCACTACGGCCTTACCAATATGGAGGAAAGAAGGCAGATATTTAAACCTCTTCTTTAAATTCTTTTGCCCAGTCCACAGAAGGTTTGTTGTTTTGTTTTGGGTGGGTTGTTTGTTGTGTTGTTGTGTCTTTGTTTTTTGTTTGGTTGGTTTTTTTTTCCCAGTTAGCTTTTTAGAATTTGTTTCATGTAAATTATGGAGTCTTGCCACTGGAACTGAAGGAAATAATGATGTGAGCTCTATGAAGATCTCAAAACAACTACAAAGGAACAGCCATCAAGACCTACAGAAATGTTGTAGAGCAGTGACCTTGTCAAAATTCATTAATGGATGTTTAAAACACAGATGTTTAAAAATGTTTACACACTAACTTGCATGCCTCAGGCTTGAAAACATAGTGCTTGCTCACAGAGACTGAGAAACGGAGTGGCAGAAATTGCAAAAGTGGAAGAAGTGCATCAGAAATGGACTGGAAATGGCAAAGGTCATGTCACAATACCTCTAATAAAAAGGCTTGTTTCAACATAAAGCTTATTTAAATTTAAGGAACTAATTTTGCGTAGACACAATTAACTACTGCAAAGGAGATTCAGTCCATACTGAAGGAAAACGGTTGAAAGGTTTAGAGAATTTTATATGTAATAAAACAAACGCTAAGATAGTGGAAGAATCAAATCCATGTGAGCTGATTGCTCTGCAAAGCAGAAGGGAATATTTTCTCAGTGTGCAGCACAGTATAATTTCTCTAATAGATATATAAGTAGTTATTTTTTGAAGCACTGGGCAAACACTGCTACTTGGGGAAGAAAGAAACATATCTGTTAAAGAGGGACAAACTCTGCTTGCAACTTCTGCTTCTTTAGTAGGCTTTTAGTATTTCTTTCTCACTATCCCAAAATGTCTACTAGACCACTGAATTTTTTTTCTTTTTTATTTAAGGTAATTCTTGCTCCTGCAGCTTTCAAAGATTTTTCACAGATTTTGGCAGCAGAAAGTAGGTGTTAAGTCCTTAAAGGTCTCAGTCATCAGCTTTATTCCACCACTTGATATGACTTACTATATTTTCATTAATGCTGTCTAGATGTTCATCTATCTGATTTATTTTCTTCTTTTATGGGTAAAGACAGTAGCACAAGGTTTGCCTTAGTAACATTTTTAAAGTGATGCCTATCACCACAGTGATACGAAGCAAACAACACTACTGAATGTAGCACAGAGTGTTAGAATGTGCTAATATAATTGGTTCTCAGCACATAATTTATTATAGCTTGGACCGTCCTATGTAGGACTACTACTGTTTCAACTACTGTTGAGAATACATAAAAAGTTAAAGATTTTTAGATTTAGAGTCCAAGACAACTAATGAATTCTCCTTACTACTGTTTTAGCATGGAAAGGAGTATGTGTCTGTGAGAACACCGTGTACTCAAAAACAACTTTTACAGAGACTTAACTTTCTCAAACTTGGGGTCATATTTTACAAATATTCCATATAAACCAGTTTTCAAGAGTCATATATTTAAAAACTAAAGATGATACTAGAAAACTCTAGGTACTAGAGGATAAGATAAATTTGTAATATTGCTGGTCAGTGTTTTCCACTATTTAAATACTTGATCTACATTAACTCAATAACCAAAATATATTGAGGAGTAAAAATAATGTTTATGATAAAAATTAAAAGAGAGTCAGGATTAGAAGGTATGTTTCATAATGAAAAAACATGAACAACATTTGAATGAATCTGTAAGCACAGTTAATGCAAATCAGAAAACTGGCCTCTGATTATGAACAAAGGTGTATGTTTGGTCATCCTGGCCAAAGTCCTGAGAGTACACATTACCCTTCTCTTCTGCAAATTTTATCAAACCCATTTTTAGTATTTTTTTTAACATGTTAACTAGTTAGGAAGTACCAGAGACAGACTGCATCTCACCCTTTTGTCCTGAGTTGACTTTTGTGAAGGTAACAGCAAATCCAATATCAAACAAGCTATTATAATTATTATACAAATTCTGCCTTCTGACAGATGATATCATTGGAAACCCCCATCCCAGTTGTTGGGGTATTTTTAGTAGTGCTGATATCCCACAGTTTGGCAATGGAGGACCTAAATCCTTGTTTTCTCTTATTTTTTCCTTCCCTTTAAGAACTGTTTCATTTAAGGTCTATGTTCACAGTGAGGTGGTCTCAAAGGAAGCATCCTTATTAATGTTGTCTCATATTTAATTGTAACAAGATCTGGAACTAATCTTGCAAACTTGTTAGATATTACAAGTTAGATGCCCAATTGCCTATTTACACATTCCTAAGGACCTCACTTACACATTATTTTAACCTGAGCCTCCAGGAGCATGCATCAATCCTATGAAACACAGGAAAGTGACCCTGGAAGGGCATGGAGATAAAAATCTGATGCCTGCACTACAGTAATAAGCAGCAGGAGCATTCTCACATCCACAGATGTCGAGAGCTTGACAATGTTTGTTGTTTTAAAGCATGGCTCCAGCTCCCAAATGGAAAGTTTGTCTCTTTTAAAACGCACAAATAAAAATACAAGCACTTAGTTCTTACTGATGTGAAGAAAGTCTTTAAATGTGACTCTAAGCACTGAATTCTAAATTAATAAAAACTGTGATTTTCTTCCAACTACTGTTATTCTGAGACCTTACTTTTAATGCACACAGTTGCTATGTGTGTTTTAGAAATTTTTACAGTGAACTTTTACATTCACACTGCTGTCCTGTGGTAACTTATTGAAAGCACATAACTCTCAATGGCACTGTTAGAATTGCAGAAATGGATTCCTCACAATTGAGGTATCTCAGGTTTTGTCTCTGCCCTTTACTTTGCCTACACCAACAGAGTGCTGCACTTCTAAAAGGAAGCACAGAATCTAACTAAACACTTCCCCTCCTGACTTCTGCAAATGTTCCCCTTCATTAGGTGTCACAAGGCAAAACATTTTTGGCAGAAAGTTCAGCTCCAGCCCATCAGAACTTGTTTTGGAAGTGTCAGTGAAGACATGTGAGACATTTCCAGCAGTTTGTTCAGAAGCCTGCAGTTTTAGACTTAAGATGGTTATGAGGCATCGTTTTAGATTTATCAAGAAAGAAAAGGTCCCTCTATATAACCTCATTAATGTAATTTCATGTACACTTAATTATCAGAGGAAGTCTTTAAGCTTTTGTTAGAAAAGGAGGAGATCAAAGTAATCAGTGTGTACTTCAAGGAAGGAAATGCTTTATCTGTGGCATTAGGATGCCAAAAAAATTATACAAATATGAGAACAACTACATGGGATTGGATCTATTCTGCCCAGCTCTCTACATGTCAGACAACAGCAAGGGCCCAAAGAAGAACAAAAGTGCAGGGCAAACATACCATGATATTTCCATGGCCCGCTTTTCCAGCCGCCAGGGATTTGCAGGCCAGGGACTAAACTAAACTCCTAAGCTAGAGGTAACATGGCTTTGTTTAACAGCTTTTGAAGGATCCTTCTTTCATGAATTAGTTTTGAAGTGTTCTGGTATTTGCAGATTCATTCATCAAAGACAAAGTCTAATGCACACCAGATGGGGGCAAAAACGATGCTACAAAATTATGACTTGAAGACACTTCTGTCAGGCTTTATAACAGTGTTCTTGAGGGTTATATAATAATTTAAATAAACAGATTTATGCCTTCAATTTTCAAGCCAAATTATCATTTCAATACTACTGACTTTACCTTGGTATATTGCTCACGCTCATGTTCTTGGCTAGAACCAGACCCTGATGTCTGATTATAACGGTGCACTTTCATTTTCATCTGTCTCGTTCGCTCCTCCACTACTAAGCTTGCTGCAAAAACACACAATGAAAATCAATTAAAAATACTGAAAACTTTTTTTTTTGAAAAACAAATGGTTTAGCAACAACTTTAGCTTATTTCCATCCCAACGAAACAAGGAAATGTACAAACATGTAGAACAAGCAGGCTGTAAACACAGAACAAAGGAACACTAATGTCAAGAAATCAGCCGCTTCCATTGTGAGTGTCTTTACCTGAAAATGGGAAGACATCCCAATTTCTTACACATAATCAAGCTGATGCAACAGATATGAAGAGTGAATTATAAACTGAATTATAAACCCATTAAGTATTCTGGATGCAGGGGACATAAATCCATGATGATCTAACCATATATTTGCTTAAATGTAGAAAACATTACAGTAGCATTCGAAGAATTAATGCATTAAACAGGTATTAAAATTTATTTTTAAAGTCATTAGGTCCTACTACTATCTTAAAACAGAACTGCTTACCATAGCTAAAAATTATTTGAGAGGAATAACTTCTCCATTCAGCCAGTCAGAGTCAAAAATACAGTGATTTTCTAGTAAATCTGGGGTTTTTTGCAAAAAGTCCTTTAAAAGCGCTACTTTGCTCTCTAGTGTTCATTGCTATTTCAAAGAGATTTGTTTTTGTGTTTTCATCTTCTGTGGGACAGCATTTGTTAAGAAAAAGAAGAAACTTAATCTTAAGCCTTCAAGAATTTGTGGTCCTACAAAGAACATCTTCTTCAACTTGAACAAGTTATGGCAACTAATATTGGTGGTTGTGCTTGCCACGGGAAGAGGATCTTACACTAAGAGAAAGCATGGTGTGAAAGCTCCTGGGCTAAGGCTTCTTTAAAATATGATAACCTTTGAGTAGTGGATAATTTTAAGAGGAAACTACATATTCTGCCATTCTTGAACTTTGTAGCACTATAAATTGAAAGGAACAGCAACAAAACTAATACCTTAAAACTGGCATTTTGTAACAGTTCCAGAACTAGACCCGTATATTCATGAGTAACTGTTCTAAATCACAAGGGTACTCGCAATGTTCAATGTGTTTTAACAGGTCATAACTTCCCAGAACAACTTCTTTTAGCTAGAATTTTTTGTGTGGTCACAAATTTAAGACTGGCATTTTACTTTTACTCATCTTGTTTTGGGTCAACCATGGATTTATATAGCTCTCAACAAAATTAACCATTTTAAAAGTCAAGATTTTGTAAACAGCCCCTCCCAATACCAGTGGCAGGAGAGAGATATCAATGTAAAAGCTGCATGGAATCAATTTTCAATCAGAAAACACAGAAAATTTAAAATTGGTGGAAAATAAACATTCTGTCATGTAGTTTAAAGATCTGTACTGTTAATTAAGAGGTACCAAAGTTCTTTTATTTGGGTTTTATGCTGTTAACTGTGGGAATCTTTAAACTTTTTTTTTTTTTTTTTGTCTGCTTGGCAAGCACAAAGTGCCCATGCCCCTCACCCAAGCAAAACAAATAAAATAATGAAGGCAGTACACTCAGGATACTAGTTCAAACTGTGCACTACTGCACAAATCACGATTGTGCATGCAAGTACCATCCGTAATTTGCTTGTGTGATGGAATGATGGAATGTCTGTGTGCTGGTTAGGTATGAAAAAAACATACAAAGACATAATTGTGGAAAAACATGTTGGTTTCATGTCCTCCTTCCACATTTCTTAATTAAAAATTGAAAACTAAATACAGCAAATTACATTAAAATTCTGCTACGGCTACAAATTTAAGGTTTGAAATAAAGTTATCATCATAATTTTCAATTTCCCACACGCAGAGGGTCCAATGTAGGAAATTCTGCATATGTCACACTGGACCCAGAGCTTATTCCAGATGACTAATTATGTTGGTAAATGTGTACCTTAATTGCAATGAGTCCAGTTCCACCATCAGATATGCAGGCACAGCTCCAATTACTTCAATGGAAGTTGCATGGAGGTATCTGAAGGCAAAATTGAGCACTTTAGGTGAAATTTTTAAAGATGGCCTCTTATTTTAAGGACAGATATGAAAGGATTAAGATGTACCAATGTTACTGAAGTTAAAAAGCTCAGGTATCTTAATCCTATCATACATGCATGAAATGGACTGAGGATATATAATCAGAGGGAAAATTGAGACCCCTTTAAAAATTTAGCCCTATGTGTGTATAGTGCACAGATTACAGTTACTCAGAAATAACCCTTTCGTTGTGTGACTTTTGGTGTTTCATTATGTCAACTGTACATTATATTAAATAATTTATATAATATAATGTTGCTCTGTTACTGATGATACCCAAAAAAGAATATTCTATTAAGGAAGCAGATGCTATTTTAGTGAGTATACATGAAAATTACTGTAGTCAAGGTTGGGTAAATATTCAACCTTAACTCTGTAAATCTTGATTTCTGTTATGTTTAAATCCTTAACTTTAACAACACATTTATATTCTGGGTTTTATTATTAGATATCATTATATAAAATGAGAACTATTAATGAGGACTGTGAAGAAAATCTAAATTCTGTAATGGAGATATTTGGGGTTGTTTATGGAGTAAAATGTAACTTGGCACCAATTAGCTGTTGATGTATTTTTAAGCAAGCAACTGTGTGAAATGTAAGCCTGCTCTAGAAAATACACGTGTTCTTTCCAGCTTTGTTTACTGTGTACATCTGAGTGTATGTTATACCTAGTTCTATTGTGTGACAGAAAATTTCCTCTGCCTGGTAAGTAATCTGGTATACTCTTTCCATGCTAATCACAAGAAGGAGGAAAAATCTAACACAGGAGCAAAAGCACATTAGCAAAAGCTGTAACAACCATAGGTAACACGACCATAGGACCACACTACTTTCTTGGAACACAGCTGGTTACCACAGGTAATGAAAATTTGACATAAACAATACTTCAAGAATTTAATCTGCTTCTTAGAAAAATATGGATCTACTTTCTTTTAGGACATCAGTATTTGCAAAGTGCTTTTCCCAGAGGTCTTGAGAGGTAAGACTGTACAGTAATTCACAGATTGAAGCACTGTGATCCCAAGACCTTTAAATTCTAGACGCTCTAGAATTCAAAATATGGAGATTTACTGCAAGTGGCCCAAACTAGTGGTGCAAGTACCATCAATATCGGTTGTGCTGCCACGTTACTCTTTTTGGTGTTGAAAGTTACACTTCAAAGAGCAATAACTCGCATCTCTTCAAGAGCTGCTGATTCAGATGTGAGATCAATCAGTACAAGAAGTAACTGAAAGGAGAGAACTCATTGAGCAGACTGCTTAGATAAGGGGTACAAGTTTAGAGTTAAAACTTTTACCACTACTAAACCGTGCGAAGGTTGTCCAACAACAATGTACGTAACAATAAAGCCATGCAGAAGAGAAAAGACACACATACAAATGGAATCAAAATGTTATACTTCAATTCCATTAACATATTTATAAACCAGTCTGACTCTTGTAAGCCCAGGTACACTGGGTCTGGCTGGGATGGAGGTAGTTTTCTTTGCAGGAGCCTGTATGGAGCTGAATTTTAGATGTGTGACTAAAACACCGTTGATAACACACTGATGTTTTGGCTCTTGCTGAGCAGTGCTTGCACAGCACCAAGGTCTTCTCTATTTCTCATGCTGCCAGCCCACAGCAAGTAGGCTGAAGACTGGGAGGGGAAACAGCTGGGACAGCTGACCCAAGTGACCAAATGGATGTTCCATACCATGTAGCATCATCCTCAGCAATAAAATGGGGAGTAGTCTTTCCAAGGTAGATATTGCTCAGAGAATGGCTGGGCTTTGGCTTGCTGGTCAGAGGTGGTGAGGGATTGCCTTTGCATCACTTGATGGTGGGGTTAAGGTTTGTTTGGGGTTTTTTTTGCCATTTTTTTTCCCCTTCGTTTATTAAACTGTCTTGATCTTGGCCCATGAGTTTTTAGTTACTATTGCTGTTTCAATTCTCTCACACCATGGAGAGTTGAGTAAGTGAGCTGATGATGGGATGCTTAATCGTTGGCTTAGGTCAACCCACCAAACTACCAAGAATTAGCTACTCAGTGTAGTTCTGAACAGTCTTCTGTCAAAACAAACAAAAGTTCCCTTACATATTACTTAGTTTATGATTCAACTCACTGCTAAGTCCCATCTGGCTTCCACTGTGAATGCGATTCAAAGGAAGAAGACATGGTCTACAAAGATCAAGACCATCTCCCATCCCATAGGCTAGCCGGTCCATCAGCTCCTCCTGGGTCTCTTCCTCACAAGTCATTCACGAAACATCCTTGTGAAGATTGTGCACCCTGTACTGTAATTCATAACAGAACTTACAGGATTCTAAATATGCTACATGCTGGAAGCACAACTAAATATCTGGATTTCTAATCTTTGTAAAGGTGATCATGATATAGAACAATTTAACATATTCACATAATGGCAGAGGGTCTTTTTTATTCATAAAGTACTTAAAAAACTTGTATTTCTTGTGATAAAAGAAGTTTTGATTAACATTACAGGCAGTTCTTGGCACATGTTTCCATCTCATAATGAAAGTGCTGGTTTTTTTTATTGACAGGCTATAAAATAAATGCTATTCTTCAACCACCTAAAACATGCAAGTCCATAATACACTACTTAAAGGAGGTAGGGAATAAACTAACTAAAACAGCTACAAATCACATTTTCATCCTTCAATCTATCCTCAAAGACAATTGAGGCGGGCTAAAAGTTGTTTTTTTCCTTAAAGGAGATGGTAATTTCTCAATTTTTTTTTTTCTGAGACATTATCTGTTTACTAAGAATTTATGTACTAGTCATACTTCTTTTATTATGCCAGCACTATGGTATAGAATTACATCTGATAGCATTAACTAGCTGCAGTCCTCATATTTATTTCTGTCCTCAGAAAACTAGTATGGGCACATTTCAACCCCCATCTGCAGTTTAATTGACAGAGAAGTTAGATTTGGCTAGAATCCTACCTGTTCAGAATATGAGACACCTTCTCAGTTATGCAGAACATAATTAGGAATCCTACCTGTTCAGTAACAGAACCATAAGCAATATACTACACTGATAGATTAAATATAGTAGGGCAGACAGTTTTTTTTTTAAAAAAACACTTTAGTAGATAGAAAGCATCATAGGACATATTTCTGTTATTCTCAGAATGTGAATCTGATAATGCATGAAATGTGACTTCAAAATAAATTCAACCTGCATTGGTATCAACAACAGACCAGTCCTATGAAAATCTGAGAGCTACAAAAGCTGCACTAAGAGTAGTGACCACTGTAAAAGTAATTTTAACATTTTAAAGTATTGTATTTAAGGTTTGAGAGGGGACCAAACTCTGTATTATTTGCAAAATTTCTTAAATGGCACGATGCTATAAACATCTATCTATCAAGCTGATAGATAGCCTAATGTATGAAACATAGGTGGGCTCATTTAAATAAGGACTGTACTACAGGCAGCAACACTGAACTAGCAAGGAACAGTAAAAATGCTATAGCTGCCTTTGTAGGCCTAATTTTTACTCTTGAGCTTAACTGTTTAGGCATCCTTCTCTTTCATATTACAATGATCAAAGAGACCCTGCGTTCTGCAGACTGGAAAGCTGTGAATCTTAATAATAAATATGATCTAAAAAGAATCCACCCATATATTTGAAAAAAGGGATTAGAATTGTTTTAGCACTGAAATTATCTCCTGTGTAGCAGTTTAACCATCACCAAATTCCAAGGAAAACCACCTTATACCCCAAAGTGAGCTGTTATACACGCTGCATATATATCTCCAGCAAAATACCACTATCTCTGAAGTGGAGACTTGCTGCAGTCTAGGTAATAATAAAGCACGAAAGGAGAGCATAAATTTTGCCAAGGTATACGAAGATAAGCCTTTATGCTTACAAAAAGAACAACAAATTCTTAAGTGCCATACAGAGATAGGGAGTTTTAAGCCATCCAAACTAAACATAGAAACTGCAAGATAATTTATCTAAGGTCAATGGATTTTTATACTTTTGGAAGACTATCATTCCAAATATATCATTCATGAAAAAGACTCATAAAGAAGAAATCATGAGAATTGTACGAAATCCAGGATGTGGTCTTGAAGAAAATTATTATTATTGAAGGTCTTGATTTAGGAAATTATTAAAAATAATGGACATATGTGGCTTGATTTGGGTACATAATTATTTATATGTGAGAGATTTCTAACAATAGAAGGCTCTTCAGTTTAGCAGCTACAGGTAGAGTAATGCCCAGCAACTATGAAGTTAGGTAAAATCAGGTAAGTAGTAAGATGTACATTTAAAAGGTCAGGTTGTTAAGCACAGGAATAATTTTCCATTTCTTGCAGTCATTAAGTGAAAATACATTTCTAAAAGGACATTCTTGATCAAACTCAAGGATGGGCTTAATGACAGAATGACTGGTGAGATTACATGGCCTGTGATTAAAACTGGTAACTATATTGTTTTTTTTCCTACACTATAAAAAAAAAACCAAACTTATGGATGTCTTTGCACTGGCTGTACCATTTCCTGTAATGGTGAAGTCTGCACTTCAGGTTTCTGTTCAAGACGGTCAAGACAGAGGCAGTGTAGGCAAAATGTACAATTTGGAAACCCTCCAACCCTTACCTGCACTATTAAAATTTGGAATAAGCTATGTAGCGAGAAGAAACTGTCATCAAGATTTCAGAAAGCTGTAATATGTACCAGCAGATATGATGCAAACTTTAAGGGACAGAGCCTAGAAGTCTAAAATGAGAGAAACATTTGCTTATGCAACCAAGCTACTGAAAGGAAGCTGAAGTGAAAACTTATCTCATAAAAATTATTTTGTAGTAACAGTGCTTCTGGGACACAAACAGCAGGTTCTGGCAGGGCAACAGGGGACTGCACTTATCCCAGAAGCCAAGAGAGATCTGACCTATTCTTCACTCAGTCTTCCTGCTAAGAAACGAAGCTGAACAACGACAAGCAGCTACAGCTATAATGCAGCCTAGAGGCATGTACACTTAGCCTTCCTACAAAGGAAAAGACACAAGCTTCACCTGTCTGTGCTGCTCAGATGCACTATGGATGGGAACTGGGGGAAAAAAAAGTGTTTCATTTGAGGAAATGACAAATTAGAAGCTGAGAACTAAACAAGGCAGAACCAATGCCCAGAACAAAGGGAGGAAAACAAAGCAGCAGTGAGATTTGGATGGAGAATCGCCAAGTGCAGTGGGGACGGGAAGCAAGGAGGGAGGGGAGCTGCTGAATGGAGAGCAGAGAGAATGCACTGGTGTTAGACCACAATGAAGTGCTTCAGAAATAGCATACAAAGTCTCCAGGTTATTTCTGTTCAGCCTTGAGTTTCACGATGTTAAAAATCCACAGCAAAATCTGTTGTGAAATTTACAAGATGCATAAAATTTTGAAATCATAAGCAGATGAATGTTTTGAAACACAGGGTTAGTAACACTGAAAAATCAATTTGTTGCTAAGCTAAAGAACTTGTTACTTCTTCTCTGACATACTTCAAAAAGTGCTTATTGGCAACATGCAGACAGTGAGGGAGACAGCCTCTGAAGCTGGCTCTGCAGCCCTCGTCCCTGTGCCTGATCAGAATGTGCTGTGGCTCCTTTTTGTTTGTGTGCATGGGTCTCCTATCCATGGGAGCTGCTACCTCTCTGTACCTCCTCCCAGATCAGAACTGAGTCATGACCAAAGCACAGATTCAGACTGCCAAGCTGGGACATGAGCTTGGATCTCCCCATACACGCAGAGGGCTGGTGGTCATCTTGAGTTTAACAAGACCCAGAAGGGAAAATAAGGCAATACAAAAATCTGAACTGGCTGATAAAACACTCAGTTTTCCCTCAGAGTTTCAAGGAGGAGCAGAAGCTTCTATTTTAAAGAAAACAACAATAAACATACAATTCTTCAAATCTGAAAAAAGTAAACCACTGATTTCAGCAGCAATACAAGTCATCATTTTCACAACCTCAAGACTTTACTGCAACCGTTCCTGTGGATTAAGTGGAACAGATGTTTGATTTTTTTGTTTTATATTTATCTGACCAGCATTGTTCACATCTGTAGTGTGTATATATATATACACACACACACATATATATGCACTTTCCTTCATACCTATGTCTCCTGCCACATAATATCCTGAAAACCACCCATCTCGTGTATGTTAGCTCAGTTTAAGTTGTTTATTTATGGTCCCCCAGAACTGCCAGCACTCCAGTTCTTCCCACTCCTTTTGCCCAGATGTTCTCTGCCTCCAAGCTGCGTCCGCATTCAGCTCTCTTGAGCCACAGGAATCTTTACACATAAAGATCCCACCACCTTCTACACAATCCCAAATCCTGGGCCAGATCCATCCAAATCTTGTGGAAACAAGGTGTTTAACAAACCTGTTACAGGCATGGCCAAGTTTGTCTGCATAAAGTCAATTGTTTTAAACAAAGAAGCATCCACTGCAGTCCAAATCCCAGGGCAAGGTTTATGAACTTGAAAGAGGCACAAACAACAAATTGGCATGATTGATTTGTTCTGTTCTGTTTGAGAGAAATATAAAAACTGAAGAAAGTAAAATGACAGAAATCGTTTTTAAATTCAACCATTCTTAGTACTTTCTTAGGGCATTTCAAAGTACTCTCTTAACACTGCAAATAACCTGCAATTGCTAATATTCAAGTTAATTATTATTTTTAAATGTTTTTTCTAACATTTTCATGAAAACATACTCTTGAGTATTGCCATGGGTGTTAGAGTTTGTAGCTAGTGGAACAGCTGCTGTATTTTTACCTAAGCAAGTATGGATGTGTCAGGAGGATTCACCCTTTCCGAAAGTAAAGTTGTAGGAGATACCCTGCATTCTAGTTCAGCTCACAATGTGGCTTTGACACACCAAAGCCTATATTCAAACCAGAATTTCCCAAGACCTGCAGGACACAGGACTAAAGATCATAAAAGGCTAATCTGTGCTATTCATGTTTATGCAGCATAATGGTTTGCTGTTAACATTAAAAGGGATTAATTTTTTTCATTTTTTTCTCTCCAAGCTTCATTCTGATTTTGAGACAACCCCTACTTTCAGCAAAAAGAAAAAAGCAATAGGACTTCTCTGCAGTGTTGCCTCGATAGGGATGTGACATTACACTTTTCAGTTTGTGGGACAGCCTTAGCCACCTGTTGTGTGAGCCCAGTGATTCGCTGCTATCACCACAGACACAGAGAAATCCCAGGAGATCAAATTCATAGGAGGTGAGCGCCATACATCTACCCCTAGAAGCCTGCTCTACAAAATGACTAACTTTCTGCATGCCAAGGACTCGTCATGCAAATACAGCACAGGTCATTCTTCAGAATCTGTGCATACAAAGGACAGCTTCTGGCCATCATCACCTTCAACTATTCCCAAGTCCAGAGCTAGGAAAAATCCTTCACAGGTGCTAAAAGCCACGGCTGCATCATTAGAAGCAGATGTCGTTCATAGCTCAAGAAGAGCTTGGGTAAAATCTTAGTCTTGCATGAATTTTAACTCCATCAAGAAGCTTCTGAGCCATGTAAAACACCACAACTACTCCTATTAAATCCAGTATATTGCATTTCTATTGGAAAATCATAAATCACAGGAGAAAATGTTTTCATATTCTAAAGGGGGGCATCAGATAGCATGTAGATATTTGAGAACAATCTTTTTGCCTGTTAAACACTTAACTAAATACTAAAAATTGACACAATATATTGAGAGAAAAGCCAGTATTAACAGTTGCCAAACATTTGTAAAGAATTACATAAATATTTACCTTTTGTGGAAGAGTTAAAAGTCTCTTGCTCTTCAATGAATTAAATGCACGGAATGATGGAAACAGAAAAAGAAATCAGCAAATTTAAAGTTAGATAAAGAAATGTGTTACACGTGACAATGGCATGTACAGTAGGCAGTACTCCAGCATATGTAAAAGTAATGAAGAAAATTAAAATGATAAACCATGAAAAATAATAAAGCCTGTGACTTTGTCTTTAAAATTAACAGGAACAATGAAGTTACTGAGAACCAGATTGTGGAGTCTCCAAAGATTGTGCCCAAGCAGTATTGTCATACCCAAACTTATGAACGACAAAGTTTTTTAAATTGCTTTAAGTATCACTCTGACTCCTGAACCACATAGCCCTCTTCTAGATTCTGAAGCCTTTCTGCAATAACAATATTTACAAATTTATTTCCTATTGACTGAAATCTATAATACTCAATAACCACTGAACTACTGAAAATTAGTCTCTAGGGAAAACTTAAAAGATTATGAGGCTTGAACTAATTTGCAAGAATCAGCAGTGCTTAGAAAATATACTCTCCACCATGAGTAAAGATTCCACAAGCTGCCTCAAAGTATGCAGTGCCACCTAATAATTTCAAAATAAAACCAGAAATATGAAGACGAAACAAACAACGCTAAAACACTAACATCTAAAATTGACATGACCTAGTTCTTTTCTTCTCTCACTCAAGTTTTATACTGATGGATCTGAAAAAAGGTTTTCCTGAAAGGGTTTGATTTTTTACCCTTACTCAAGCCACTCTTCTCTCACTATTGAAATGACATTTCAATGATCAGGTACATATATACAGCACAAATTTCACTAGCTATTAACTTTTCTTTTTTTAGGATCATAAGTTGGTTAACTATAAAAAGATATTTGCAACTCAAATGTATTATTTGACCACATACTGATTTTCTTTACAAAATTCTGATTCTTATTTGTTAAAAGGAAACACTGGACATCAAAACACTTCATTTTTCTATAATTTGACTACCATTAAATACTTCTACATATATTATACACATGGACTTCATGCAAGTAATCCCCACCCAGTGTCAGTGGAGCCTTAGTGTAGCATTCCCTCATGAAACAGCAGCACACACGCACACATGCATGCACTTCACCCAGCATACAAGCCATGTACAAAGCTTTTGCAGCTTTTTCTGATGTGAGCTAAGATACATCAATATTTCGTGCTGGTCTCATTTTTGCTCTTCTCATGGTCATTGTGTAAGGACTATTGCTGTAAAGAGATGCCACTGGAAACACATACAACCACACGAGTTCAGTTATATTTACAGATGCTCTTTACATGGAAATAAACTGCTGATTATCACAAACCTTACTGCCATTATAGGATTTCTAAAACATGAAACCACATTGTCGAAGTTATGAAAAAGAAATCTCGCTGTGAAGAGCCAAAGACAAGTAGATAGAGGAAGGAAGGAAGACCTCTTTTGTGTGAATTAGCTCTTAAAGGTCATTTCTATACTAATTTCAATAGTACACAATAAGTTTTTTTCTTATTTAGTTCTGTATTTTCTAATATTATCCCTGCAGCTAAAAAGGAGTGTAGAAAAATGCTACAGATCTTCAGATTGCATTAATTTCCTTGATCAACACAATGATTAACCATTATACAAAAGCACAGAGGCCCATCCTCATATCCTACTCAAGCAAGAATTCCTGTGATGTTTTGACAGTTGCAATGACAGAGGACAGAGTAAAGATCACAGAAATACACTTTATAGAAAAGTATCATTTAAAACACATACAACTCCATAACCAAGTTGTTATAGAAACAGCAGAAAACTAAAGTCAATGCAGGATCCCCGCCCCTCTTAACGATTCGCGCCGTTCCACTCAAACATGATGCAAATAAAACCAACACTGGTGCAAATCTCTCACAGCTCAGCACAGGATGACATATTGAGAACACACCATTGTCCTTATCATGGCCTAGAATTTCACTGCTTCAGTCACTGAGCCAAAACACGTTCATATTATAAGGTTCTGTTATAAAATGATCAGTTAGAGAAATTAAAAACCCTTCTTAAGTAACATAAGTTTTGAGTAATTACTATTAAATCATGACTTTTGGAAAACACACAGAGACATGTCTATACCAGGCTAACTTTCAACACTCAAGCATCTCAAGACCTTTAAATGCAGTAACATCCCAGTGTGTCTTGCGCTCTAGAAAATACTGCTGATGAGGTTGCAAAGGAAAGAAATAATATCTTCCTTGAATACCACTGGTATTAAAATAAAAACCACATTGCCTAAAAATTACTGAAGCCTAGTCTTAACAAAAACCACTTTAAAAAGCCTGCATGTACTAGAGTTGCTAAAAGTATTACTTGCGTAGAACTGTTCCAAGTGAAAATAACTACCTCCCTCCCCAACTCCTAAACTAGGCAAAGCTGATAGCCCCTCTAGAACATAACCACCAAGAAGCCTTTTGTGTGTGTGTGTTTTCATAATTATGTTGTTCCAGTGCTTAGGTCCTTAAATGGACTTTTTTCCTCTACATTTAAGACCTTTTTTTTCCTCTCTTTCTGATCAGTGGTACCAAACCCCACTGCTGTAACAGAATAGAAACCCCTACTTTGGTCTTCTCTGTAAAAATTGTTACCATTAGATTTTTTTTTGAAGTGTGCCCACTAATAAGGACCTTTTAAAACTACCTACTTTTTACGGTTCTCAGCTACCAACCAGAGGAGTAACTAAGACACCACCATCTGGTAGAGACAAGAAAACAATCAATTTAAGTTCTAAACTTGAAAATGACAGAACAGAATCTCCAAGATGCAATGTCAGAAGAAGCCTTATTAACATGGATATGATCATTTACAGTGGAGAGCTAAAGATTAAGAGTTAAAATATCACTCTCTCTCCCGATATGAAAACCACTACCACTCTCCTGCTCCTTCATTAAATCTCACTTGTTCCACAATGAACGCACTAGAGAGTAATAAAATTACTTTACTGGATTCTTGTATGCCTCGTGAATATGCAAAGAGCAAATAAAAAACCCACTCTCAATATACAGACACTCAATCTTTTTACAGCAATCACTGATTTGTACAAGAGGCAGATTCATAGATGTATATATTTAGACATGTATTCAACCTTCCTCACACAACATAATTTGTATAGAGTGCAAAGAAGTATTTTACTATAAAAATGGTATCATACAGGATCTCCTTGAAACACAAGATGTCAATACTGACCACAAGAAAGTAGCTTTATTTATAAATGAAGAAAATCTACTTTGAAATGCTCCCTGTAATATTTGTATATTGCACTAGATTTTGACTTCACCCATATCCACAGCGACTGTGAACTTAAATCATGAAGGACACATTTCAGTTCCAAGTGCAATTAATGGAAATCTTTTACAGACTTCAATATTTTTTGAATTTAATCCTGTATTAGGGTCAGATCACTTCTAGTCTGCTACTTATATGACAGGTATTGAAGAGGTGAAACTGATACAAAAATTTGATACTGTAAATCAGAGCAAATATGGTAGTCTTATAGCCTCACTGAATTTAATTTCTTACAGTAGTATAAAGCTTATACTATCATATTTATATTAGAAGATTCTGACAAAACCTTTCATAAACTCTAGTCCATTTACTACTTCTCTGCAAATGTATTTTCAGCTTGAACGAAGGATTAAACATGAGTAAAATCAGAAAAACTTCCCTTTGAAAGGACAAGCCGGTCACTTAGACAAAGCCAAAGTACTATGTAGAGAAGGAGATCTCTAGCCTTCTACTCCATACAGCCATACTGGTACAGGTGGCATGATATATAACAACAAAGTAAACATTATGTCACATCCTATTTGTACGTTTTATACATAAGACGCAAGCATATCAACCACAAGTGTAAGCAAGAGTTCAGTGAAACATCACTACTTTACAAGTGCTCATGGTATCAGCAACTTTTTAAACCTAGAGTAGCTTTAGCTTTCTGCTCAAATTTCATTTTTTCTTTTCTCTTCTGTATATGACCCATCTCTACTCATTTTCATGGTATGCTCTACATTTGCTTCCAGTGTCTTTAACAAAACATAAATTAGTATTTCATTCTCAACACACCATTTATCAAGAACAGCAGAAAGATGATTGATGAATATCCAAAGGAATGTCAACTTAAAATGAAATTAAAAGCTGATTCACCATTATATATTGCACCAAGTTCTGAAACTGCAGAAAAAAATCTTGAAATAAATTTGAAATTCATTACTTATTTGATTTCACTACAAAGCTCCCAACTCACTAAGATGTAGAAATACAGGCTATAAATGTAGTTTGTAACTAGTTTATAATCCAGACAGTCCTTGATTTACTATCAAACAAAATGAGAGGCCTCAAATGTAAATTTTAGAATTAATAAAACCCACTTGTATTAGTATATTAATCATTAATAATAAACACATGTATAAAACAAGAATGTATTTTTATATGTGTTAATTGAAGGCGTAGCATGCCATCACAGTTCCAAGTCATAAAATTCATGTGACCTGATTGCATATTAATGTAAGCCATCATACAGAAAACCCTTTGGCAATGTATCATGATAAGGTAATGGTCAGCAACATTATCTATTAAAAAAAAGCAGTTTGCCAACAGTTCTATACAGCACTACATTATTTCATCATTAGAAGCATTTCTTTAATTTCCATGTAGAAGAGAACCTTGAGGTACATGGCAATCTCCGTTGTTGCTTGTAGCCAATGAGCAAACAGGCTTTATGAACACAGAACAAAACCTGAACATGCAAATATTATCCATTATACCATTTCATTTTACCATAACAGCTCATGCTCTGTGTGCAGTATGTTGCTAGAAAAGGAAACAGCAAGATTCATACTTATTTGATATTAGTATGTAAAAAACATCTTCCACAACCTTTAGTTCTACATGGTCTTTTTCAGAAAAGAGCAGCACTTTGCTTCATCAGTTTATTCTTAAAAAAGAAAGAATTGATGACCTGTGCTTTCACATTTCCCATGGTGATTATTTTCATTCTTTACCCATTGTACTATAAACTCCAGAAGAAACACAGATCTGTGATATTTATTACTAACCTATGTTATAATGCACAACAATTAATATAAACCACAGAATAAGAAACGAGCAAGACTGTCAAAGCGTTACCAAAATCTTTGCCCCTGGTTTCTGAAGAGCAGAAATTCTGTATTAGTTGAACACAAACTACAAATGTGTTGGAAACTATCACAGTTCTAATAGAAATTTTAAAGGAGACAAATATAAAAAGTGTACTAGAAAATTAAGGCAATTCAACTGTGTGTAATAATCCACTGGTCAATCACTACTGGATTTCCCAGATTAGAAATATGCTTTCAATTGTCTTCAGTTGCTTTATTGGTAGAATTATAGCATTGAACACGTAGTTACCAAAGTAGACTTTAGGTACAGAAAAGTAAGAAATCAAAGAGTTTGAGCTATCATAAGCTCATTATTTGATACCTTGCTCTATACTGCCACTTCTTACTGGAACCTGTGGTAGCTGTCTTCCCCTGCGACTGCTGAAGGATGTGTCTGCAGGAGGAGACTGGGTGGGACTTCCTTGTTGATGTATCCTGCAAACAAAATTAAGAGAAAAGTAAGACAACCCAAATAATGACAATTTTTATATTCTGAATTTTAAACACATTAAATCCTATATACTGAATATGGGTTTGAAGAAGTTTGCATTTGGTGTATGCCATACTCAGTTCTGGATACCTAGTTAACTCCAAAGGCCTCACATTTCATTTTTCTAACTAACTTCAACTAAGGAGAAATATTTTCCTTTGTTTTGTTGTTGTTTGGGTTTTTTGATAAAGTACCAATCAAAAACCACTGAAAGGAAAGCAGTTTTCTATGCACCATTTATGATTATGGCTCACAATTCACGTTCTGCACTGGCACAAGGACAATACAAATTGCTTCCGTTGTACTTTATTAACTTTTGTATTCCCTTTGTGTTGGTGCAATAATTGCACAAGGCCACAGAGAGCTGGACAGCAAGTATCTATTCCCATGGTAAAACATGTTGGTTTTCACTGAACTCAAAAAAGGGAAAAGATTTTTAACTTTGGTATTGGGGGGGGTGCATGTGTATGTACACGTAATGAATGTAAAAGATTTTTAATATTCATACCTAAGTAAATATTCTAAACCACTTTGGCTGAATGCTAGATTGCAGTATTTCAGGACACCTTGGCTACATGATTTCTTCTACAGAGATACAACATCTGTGTGTAACACACCAAACACCTCTGGAATGCTGGGAAGCTTGCATTTAAAATAAGCAGGGCCACCTCAAATAACCAGGGAAAAAGTTCAAAATAGTAAAACAAAGATGAGAAGCAGACCACTGAGAGGGAGAAGCTTACTATGCCCTTGCCAGTTATAGTAATATCACACTATAGTAAATAAGCTCTGTGTATCTACTATACTAAGGCTGCAAGTAGATAATTTGCAATTTTATGTTGATATATTTATGCAAATTCAAATTACCGTTGGCTTTCACACTACATGGATCAACTTTCTCCTAGCCTGTAAGATCAGTGCTAGCTGTGTGAACAGCATACAACTTCCTGCACAGTGTTTAAGAAAAATACTTTGATAATTTTCATATGGATATAGAACAAAACACAACAATGTAAGGACGAAACACAGCCGATTTCTTACTCTTACACTGCATAACTATTGAAGTTCAGCAGCAAGAAGTACCATCTGGATGGTGATGATAGGTGGTGTAATGGATATGGGAGAAGTGTAAATACCATGAAGAGAGGACCATCTACAGTGCCAGAATGAGTGAACACACCATGTATACTGAGGGAAGTACAACACCACACTGACACCTGGGAGGCAGAACATGAGAGCTGTGCTGCACACGTAATAGCAACCTGGTCAGGAGCGGAGAAGGTGGCGCCGACCCTCCGGGCGCTAGGTGATGTACAGAGCATAAGGGTCTGACACTAGAATGCTCACTCGACCTGGAGCGAGCATGATGTTTTCCCCTAATGACTGGCTGTTCAGTCGTTCGTGGGGTTGGAAGTCCCCTTCTAGAAAGACATGGTAGCAGACCCCTAAAACATCAGGGCCAAAAAAGTTCAGTTGTTAGCTCCAGGCACAACTTCCCATGCCCCCCTCCATCAAAGAACATTGCAAATTCTGGCTGCAGGACCAGGGTTAACATTTCAGATTGAAGTTATTAATTCTGGATGCAAATCCATTTTCAAAATGATGAACACTCACCACTGCAGATACACATGACCCTAATTGTGGGACTACTGAACTCCATTCCATCTAGAGGACAGTTGGCCAAGAACTCTAGCTGAATCTTCAACACAGCAAACACAAGCTAACAACACATGTGACATTACTAGCACAGAGTAGGCTATGAATATTTAGTTTTACCACAAACCACTTCTGTTTCTATAATGTATCTTTTATCTTTATTAAAAATATTTCCACTGGTGTCCTAAAAAAGGACAATATGTAAGCATATATGTAATTCCCTTGGTATCCTTAGGAGTTTTAAGTAAGAAATCCAAGAATCGTTCTGCTGTAAGCCCTAAGAAAGAAATACACTTCTGAAGGAACTGCATATATGAAAATACTATTAAAATATGCAGTAAAATGACTGTGTTAGTATAATAAAGCACAATTATTAATAGTTTAATAATTGCATTCACTGCAAGTATAAGATAACCTGAAACATTTCAAGTTAGAGAGTAACAAAACATCCCAGCCATGCCTTTTCACCCATCCTTGGTTTTCCAACAGACAAGCATTCTGTAAATGTTACTACTCTATCTGTTGTTATTTTAGAAATTTAAGTTTCCTGTGATATCACTTCATTGTGTGATTTCTGGTTTGGTTTTTAAAAACATTTCTGTAGAGTTATGATGTCTCAATTCACACACTCAGTACAACTTTTCAACAAGATACAAAGTAACCAAGGGACTGTTTAGTTCATGGGACTATCATACACTGGAGTCACACTAAAAAAAAAAAAAAGTATATCTAAGATAACATGTAGATGTCTACAAAGGACAACAAACAGGTTTGGATTCAAAGCCATTTCACCAGCAACAGTTTATGTGGAATCCCAGTCACAATGCAAGAAAATCAGGATTCTGGTGCCCTTGCTGTCCTCTCTCAAGCCCTATGCTTCTTTAGATTAACTCCTGGCTTGCCCTGGTGATAACATTCTTCCAGAAACTGATATCCCCAAGTCTAAAATATACTTACAATAATGAAGATGAGCTGAGTTCTGAAAATGACCGTTTTTCCATGCTGACTGTAAAAGCAATCCATGCCAACCACTGCATGCAACCAGCTTTTAAGCACCTGTTTTATCAGATGTTTAAGCACTCTAACATCCACAAGGTAGATAAGGATCCCACTCTGTGCCAGAAAGTGCTTGCTTGCTTTTACTGTGAATGAATGCACCAATGTAACAACATCAACAGGTTCTCAGTTCTGATTTTTCTCATTTTAGAGGCTAAATATCCTGGAATTTATCTGAGAGCCCAGTGAAGCACAGAGAGACCGTCCTGCCAGTACAGAACAGACACTTTAGCTGGGACTCAGAAACTTACCTCCTGCTCTTCCAGTAATACCCTTTCTACAGACCTGGCCTCTTCCCTGAGAGAAAGATAGAGAAACTTCTTAACTTAAATGAAGATAAATCGGGCTTAAGACTTGCATTAGCTGGGGTATTGCATTCAGATGAGTATACTACTCGGTGTGCACATGAAAACAGAGCTAAAAGGGAACTGGAGAACAACTAGAATGGACTTAAGGAATTGCTGGCCTAGTAGAGTGATCATTTGCTGAAAGGAAGAAGGTTGCAAAAGGCTGATATGGAGAATGAGACAAAACAGAACAGCATGGGAGACAAAAGCTAGCACATGACAGGAAACAAGACAGAAGTGAGTTACAAAGTATGGAGAGGAGAGGAATTTGGGAGAGAAATGACACCCAGTGAGCCATGAGACTGTAATGAGCATGTAGGTGTGTATCTCATCTCCTGGTTCCTCACAGAGGAAGGTAACACTGCAAGCAGCAAACCTACTGATTCAGTTGGCAATGGTCTACAGAGGGATTCTACACTCAAGAAAACCCTAATTCCTTTCTTTTCAGACTGATGCTTCAGCAGCATGTACTAAATAAAACAGGCTGCCACTTATGGAACTATAAAGAAAAACTAATAATAAGAGAGCGTTGCCAATCCAGCACACCCCTGGTGCAGGGTCCTATGTACAATATAGCAAGTAAAGACTGTAATTATCACAACATGTACGACAGGTCACCTCAAACCTGGCATTTCTAGAGTGATCAGTTAGGGCTGAAAGAAAACATTTTAGGATTGCGATGAACCAGTTTTTATCACAGTTTTGCTCATTCATACAAGCATTGAAAATGTTGATTGTCAGGTAACCGGGTTTACTCCAGAAGAGTTTACGTAATCCCATCTCGAAGGCTTACCTCACTGAATTAAGAGAACTCTTAGGCTCTGTAAACTATCTTGAGGAGGTTTTCTTTTTCCATTTTAGGTTCATTTCCTAAACTATCACAACACCCAGGGAACTTAATCTTATATAGCATGTCGAAAGGCTTTATAGAGAAGCTGAAAGCACGCTAGTATCTTATTCCAGTAATCTGCTTAGCTAATAGTAGACAAGCTGTGCAAATTTCAAAATAAAGACCAAATCTAAGATGGAAATGGTAGTCTTGATTCATATTTGCCGTTTGACAAAAATAAAATGATTGCTTGTCCTATTATCAAAATTTTCTGGCACTCAGTGAAATATTGTATCTATGCCGAAATACTAAACTACGCCACATAGACCTTATTAGATATTTGTGCCTCACATCTAATAGAAGTGAATCATTTTATGGAAACAGAAACCTACACCATGTGCCATGGAGATATAAAAAGTAGAAATATAATTCATGTTTCCCTATGCTCTTGTGGCACTGGGTTCATTGCTGAGCAGTTAACCAGAACTGTGAGGCCCTTAGACCTCACATCCAGTGGCTCTCCTTGCTCTTCACCAGTTATGGGGGGAAAAAAAAAAAAAAAAGCAGGGAAAAAAAAAAATGGCTTTAGTGATCTCAAAGGCAAAACTGTCCCTGATTTAAACACAGCAAGGATTTCAGGCATCATTTAGGTAATTTCTCTGGTCTAAGCTGAAAAAGTAACTGGGCTGTTGTGACAACAGAATGAACAAAACCAAGAAAAAGTCTAACTATTGCTTTTGGACCAGGAACAATAACCTGGGGCTTGAAGCAGTAAAATAAACTAAAAGCACTGAACTTTTGCTACATAATGTGCATTCTTATTGCAAATAAAAACATACTTGTGTTGTTCATAGATTTTTTTTAACCCTTACGATGTTAACAGATGTACATTCCTCCTTTGCTAATCAAAATAACAGAAATCTGCTTCTAACAAAGGCAAAATCTCACTGCTCCTCACTGCTCTTATTTCATAGGGTTTAAAACGTAACTAGATGTACTTATGCTTTAGTATATATCTTTCTTATTTTCACTTTTTGTTAAGAACTTTTATATGTAAACTTATGCTACTGTAGCCTCAAAGCGAAGAGTTACAATAGCACAATACAGGAAAATTCAATGAAAGCAAAGGTTAAAGGCCCAGTGTTTATATTAAACTTATGTAATGATAGATTAAAAAAAATTCTATACATTTTTAAATGTGTAATGTTTTTCTATTATAAAGTGAAATTAATTTGATCAGAGAGATCTCAAATCATTAATCTTTTAGTATATTTTTTTACCCTCAAAGTTACTGTGAATTAGGGATTTTAAAAAAAAAAATAAAAATTGGTGGTAAAGCGCAGACAAGGTTTAGTCCCACAGTAAGGAAATACGCTACACATTTCCAAATTTTATCTTACAGAGATGATAAATAAGGGCAATGTGTCTCAGATTTTGGCTCATAAAATGGATGGACTGCTAGTCTTTAGCATTTGGTTTATCTGCAATAATGGAAAATGCCAGAATATTCCATATGTATGCAACACAGCAAGCAGCACTAATAATATAGATACTAAGTAAGTAATGCTGTAAATGACAACATAATTTTTGGTATTGTCACAGATGTTCCACTCCTAAAGTAGTAATAGAGGTATATTCCAAAACCTGGAAGCAGATTGATTATAAGATATGTTTACTCATTGATCAGCAATCCTACCTTTCTGTTTCAGTTGCAGAGCCTTTCCTAGTTTGTTTTTGGCTGCTATATCTTTCCACTTTTCTCGACTGCCTGTGAAATGACATGTCAGAAAAATAAACAAAGAAGAAAAAGAACACAGAAACATGAAGGTTATTTATTAATGTATTATAAAGGTAATAACATAAATGGTTGGCAGATGAAAAAGTGACAACTATCATCATGAAAAGGCTGGTGAACTCGATTTAAGACACATCGCGCTGATTTGTTTGGTTTCATTGAGGCTGAGGGTGTGAAAGCTATGAGGTACCAAAAGAGAGGAGATAATTCTGACTGAACCTCCAGCTAGCTCCCACTTCACAGTCTGTATCTGATTAGAAACAATGCCTCCTCACAGACCTAGTCATAACTTAACAGCATGAAAAACAAATGCAGAGTAGAGAGCAGGGAAAAAGTGTTGCAGAAAGTACCAGAAACTACTGATACTGAAATTACTATTCAAATCTGAACTTTAAAAATTGCTTTTAAATGTAAATTTCAAAATCAAACTAAATGTTGCATCATACCAGCTTTAAATAACATGCTGTCACAACATTAATAAAACCCTGGCTTTTCAAAAATCTCATTGTATTAAAACTTTAGTTGAAGTTTTTTAGAAACAGTTTAAAACAATCTTTTTTTCTAGTCAATATAAATAAGGTAGAAGCATCTTTCATCCCTACACTCCTTTCTTACATAAATATTTTATAGAATTCATCTGACAGTTGAATAATGAGACACTAGTTACCTCTGACAACCTAATCATTTACTGTGATAGCAAATAAAAACAATTAACAGTAATATGAGTCAATAAATGGAGAGAACAAATGTAAAGTGTGTTTCATCATTATGACCCAGGGCTATAAATATACTATGAAAAATCTCTGCAGATCTTCTGTGTTGCTAAAGTGTCTTTCCTACCCACAGTAACGTGAGCATTTAAAAAGATTAGGATTTAGAAAGCTAAAACTCTGATAATCATCAATATAAGTTTGGGGTTTTTTTTAGAATAAAAAGTGCATATAGCGTTTCAGGAATAGTCAAAAACAGGGAGTGATGTTTATTAATTGACATACCAGAAATGTTGACAAACCCTAACTTGCATCTTACACTGGTGCAAGAAGCATGTATAGAAACTTGCAATGATACAGTCAATTTCATATATTAAGCTATAAAAGAATTACAGTACACAAAACAAATAGATTAAAGTAGTATTTTTAAAAATATACTCTCCTTTTAAACTTGTGGTTAAAAAGGAAGATCCAGTTTCTGAACTGAAAGATATCTAAACACAAATGTATTTATAGTGGATTTGCATGATTTGTACCCACTACAATTATTTGATGAGCAATATATTGTGATGCATTATGCACCACAACAAAATACTGCAGCAAAATACAAAATGTTTTTTGCATGAGCAAAGGTCACTACCTGATGCTTTCTAGGTTTTAAAAGAATCTATTTTCTTAATAAAAAATAATATCTCAGATTAAAAATTAAAATCCCCTTTGTCTTCAAACTATTTTTTCCATATTTATTTTTTATATATATTCTCATTAGGTTTTAATTTTTTTTCTTTATTACTGCAAATACACAGGGAAATAATTAACATATTAAATGCTGCAGCTTTACTTAAAACCTAAGGTTAGCAATAGTTAAAGTTATAGTTAGACACACTGAATGCAGCAGCACTATCACTCAAATGAAGTCACCCTCTTCATTTTCTGTCTAGTTGGTGGTAGGGCTTCTTCTCCTGTTTCTCCTTATGTCACTCAGAGGGCGATATTATGTTTGATGGAGACTAGCACATATAGTGAATATTCTTTGGAGGACAGAAATGCTAGGAGTAGGACATGTTTTGCTGGGAAAAATGAGAATACATAGCACCAGTGAGCTGCATATATTTATTTCTCTTGCTCTCTGTGCTGTCTTTGTGAGCAGCCCACATTAGAAATATGTGTAAAATCAAAATTTTCTTCCTACTTCCTCCTTCTTGCCGAGATGTGGCTGTACACGATTCCATACAGATCAGCAGCCTCCTACAGCACTTGCAGTCCTGGCTCAGCTTAGAGAACACACATCTATTTGGTAGAACACACTATGGGCATTTTTACCTCCTAAATATACTTTGTAGGGGCTTAAATATTATCTATGAGCAATACATGCATATATGTACTTATAAGTAAAAAGAGAAAAAAAAATTAAATATGTGAAAGTATTATGCAGAGCACATGAAGAATATACTGTAACCAACACCTCATTTACTTGAAATTGTTTTGAGTAAATAAGGATACCTCTGTGCTGCTCCAGGTTTAGCATTTAGGTGGTCTACACTGTCCTGTTTTGGAATGCAAGACTCCAGCGTCCTTGTTCTTCACAAAGTTTGGAAACATGGATGTGGATTTGGATAGAATGAGCAGAAACAGAGAGATGGTCACATGCAGTGAAGGTGGAAACATGCAAGCAAATATATAAACCAAAAGCTTTAAGGCACTATCTTCTGAAAAAGGCTCTATTTCTCATTTCCCCTTCTGTTGATTTAATCTGTACACTCAAAGAAAATATTAAATCTTTTAGTCATAATAGCAACAATCTTAAGATGCAATAAAGAATGAAAGCCACAACAATATTTTTTTAAATATTAAAAAGCACTGTGGCTTAATATTTGCCATTATCCTTCTAGAAAATTAATCTACAATATTGTTTGTTAGATTAATACATAAACCTCTACAGAACATCTTCCATTAGGAATTTGAAAAATGAACATTTTGTCATTATGCTGTGACATTCCCATGAAAATGGAAGTAAATGTAATTTCATATATTTTGATGAAAACTTCATATTCTGTTGCCAGCCAGTCTGCTACAGTAACAATTAATAATTCAATAGCAATGCAGAATGACTGATTAAGGTTTTTTTTGAGAAAAAATTCAAACAAAGTTCAGAACATTGCCTAATTTCTGTATTATTTTCATTTCTGTTGAAGCTGTTTAAGAACTTCAGAATTTGTTCACAGCTTTCAATTTGGCATAAATATTATTAGCTTGTTGGTTTATCATTAGTTTTTTATGAAATATGTGGTAAAAAAAAAATCTTGGTAAGGTGTATCGGTGTAAGATTGTTCTTCAAATATCAAAATTGGCTTTTAATGAGAAAACTCAGCAAAATTTGCACTCCACTAATAATTTAGCATATGTAAGGAATTTGCATCTATACCTCCATCAGGGTGAGGAAATGCTAAAATTTCCTTTAAGGTCATAAAACTACCAACTATCAAACAAAAGCATTGATCAATAAGGCATTGCTATGTATATAGACAAGCACTATGTATTATTTCCTATACAGACAAGCTATTCACATTTCACATTCTAAAGATCCGTGTGCCTCAAAACATTTATTGCTGTTGAGTGTAACGAAATCTACAGACAAAATTTAAAGTTACTATTCCTAAAGTGACAAAACAATATTTTAATAAAATTCAGTGTCTAACAATGAAAATTATTTATTACTGACTCATACAAGAGACTTCAGTGGCTTGCATTGAGTCTGTTCATTTATGTAGCCTTAAAGCCATCACGAGCGTCATGTCCAATACTTCCTGATTTTTCCTGAACATTTCTGAAAAACTGCATCTACATGGTAAGTGAGCTGGGAAGTCACAACTACTCTGGTAGCTCCTCACACTCATTCCTAGCACTTCAGTTGATGTCTTGCAAAGCTGCCTCCCTGATCAAGTCACATACTGCAGCTGGAAAGATGGGAAAGGATCACCCAGGGCAAATCAGTTTGCCACCAGTAGTGCACAGCACGCCCCAAGTTCTTCTTCTGAAAGCGCCAGAAGGGTACTTGCTCTACAGCTGGCTTCATGATGACTCTTGGATGAGCATTCTTTGAGATAAATGCATGACCACCAAAAGATATTTCTCCTTACTGAAAGTACATAGGAATTATTTTTTTTAAAAGGCTTATATTACATATTATATATTATTCAGTCTTGGCTATATACTGAAATTATATAAAGACTTCTCAAAAAGAACAGCTGGAATAAAATTCCCACCTCCCATTAAGTGCTTAGTTTTCATCCTCCTGGTTTTTACCATCACTTACAACCTCAAAATTTGCAGTTCTGCAGTTACCAGAAAGTCTTTCACTTCAGAAAGACTTTCTTATTCTAATTTGATTAAAAAAACACCACAAATTTCACAGCAGTGAAGCTATCAAATTCAGACCAAAACCTATTACTTAAAATGTCTTAAAGAAATACATGATACAAGCCAAACACTTATTATTTCTTAATAGTGAAATAACATATAACTCATGTCTTCATCTTGCCAAGGTACAAGAAAAAGAAAGAAAAGCAGTCACTTTTTCTGATATGGCAAAGCAAACAAATTCCAGATAACAATCTTGCCAAGACTTTTACTAAAATTTATATTATGAATCATTGTCAATAAACACAATGTTGCAAAACCTAAATTTAAATGATCAAAATTAGAAATAATGCACAAGTCATATGTTTAGGGAATGTATTCAGAAATAGCTCTTCTTGATTGCACCCTATATGCAAATTGGGCCAATTTGTAAGATAAATCTGGAATGTACTTAAATGAAGAGTAAGATAAGATCTGTCAAAGTCAACTTATCTGTGAAAGTGTGATTTTAAAGTGATAATAAGCAGGCAGTTAGCTACTCCTGATGATCCATTAGACATTCGTTCCCCACTGCATCAGTCGTCAAACTGATACAAGCATATCTTAAAAATAAATTATAGAACTGAGTGCTGAGTGGTGCTGGCCAACTGCCAGTGCTATGGGAAATAACCAGAATTAACATAAAATTAATGAGCAGAAAACAAAGGTAAAGCACCTGTGATTCCCTCACTGATAATCTCTTTATAGAGAAGGTGGGCTATTTTTTTGGGTTGGCTATGTAATGCAAAGAGTCCAATGTTCTCCAAACTTCTCTTATCTGAAAGATTTTGGAAGTGGAAGTCTGCAACCAGTCATCAGGATTCAGGTTAGCCCAAACTCCTAAGTTCATCATTGACTGCATCACTGAGATTCAATGACTTTGAAAACTCCCAAACACAAGGCACTGAATTCACTAAGAAAATTAGACTCTGCTTCTCTGACTCAAAAATCTTTCCCATAACAGGTTCTAAATCCTACAGATGTTTTACTACAATGTGTTTGCTAACAGGTATTAGATGATTTCAGTCTTTCCTCACAAAACTGCAGCTGACATCAAAAGGCTTACAATTCAACATTAGGAATGGCAGTATTTAGATGAAAATCTCATTTCACTGATATGTGATATGATTATGACTTAATTCTAATCACTTCAATGAGAACAAGAATTCATCAAGTCTGATCCACTGAAGTCAAAGACAGTCCCATTTGGTCAAAAAAATCGGAAGCAAAATTACTTTAAAATTCTAAAAGAAACAAAACACCCTTGTAAACTATTAATAGCTGTCCCATCAAAGGAGTATGTTGGCAAAGTCTTGAATTTGTATCTTAATAGAAATGATAAAGTATGCTTAAAAAAAACCAAGCTCTATCTGGAAAAATAGCCACCAAAAAAAAATTACTACTGCCAAAGCAATGTAATAGCAAAATCAATTTGCATAGAAAGTTCATGACAAAAAAAAGGCAAAGGTGTTTCTACTAATCATAGGTGATATTCAGGATAGAAGTTTATTTAAATATTGGTGTTTTTAACAAAAACCTACCTTGTTAGGAAAACCTGCTCCATTGAGACCATCCTGATTTGGACAGAATTTACAAACAGTGCCAGTTTTTACATACATTGACTAACAAGTGTAACCAAGACTTAAACAGATCAGTTTGGGGGGTTATTTTCCCCCTTAGGAACAGTTTGTTAAAAAGGAAAAAAAAAAAAAAAAGAAAAAGCAAGCTAGACAGGAATAGGCTTTAAAACAAACATTTATCATATTATAAAGCACCACAGTGAAAACACTGCCACCATTTACAGAAGCAGGTAAAAACAGACTAAAGAACATTAACACAGATGATGTTCTGTTGTATTAACATCTTATTTCATGGCTTGTGACTATTCTGGCAAACAGAAAACTTCAAAAGACATTAATTCCCAGGTGCTTTATAACAGTTCAACAAAATGCAGAGATGATATTTAAGCTGTTTTAGTTTGGGCTTCAGGAGGTTGCAAGCCTCTGTCTACATAGATGCATAATTTTAGATTCAGTATATTCCTCTGAGAGTGCAAGATGCAGTGAGACACTTTTCAATTGGGAGGAGTTGACTAGTACCTGTCATCCTCCGGAGATGCATGCTGGATATGAATCCTGGGACTAGTAGGTCGTCTCCTCTCTAGGGAGGGGGACCATCTACCCCTGTTTGCCCGTTCAGTAAAACAGGAAGAAAATAGGATATTTAGTTTGTGATAAAATAAAATATATGGGATTTGGTACTGGAAAAATACCCCAAAAAGTAATGAAAGTGTGCATTTAATGATCTTTTCTAGCAGTTTTCTAACCCTTAAGTATGTTATTCTTACATCTGCTTACTGCAGAAAGATTACAGCTGAAACAAAGAGAATGTATGCCCAAAGATCCAGAATTTAGATCAATATATATTTTTATATAGTGTACCATTAAGTTTTAAAATATTCCCAAATGCTAGACTACCTAAAAGCCCATCGTTTGTATAGAAAGTTATAATTCCAAACTAGAAGAGCTTTTCAAAGACCTTATGACAGTCATTTTATGTCAGCTACTGGCTGGGGTTTTGTTAAGCCCATCTCTTCCACCTCTTTGCACTGAAAAATGCATTCTCAGTAACCATGTAGTACTATGAAATACAAGAAAAATTCTAAGGCATAAAGTGACCCTTTTCTGGAATGCAATGAGAGAGTGAAGGTTATTTCATTAGCTACAGCTAAGCTACACACATTTGTGTACAAGTCCTAGAGTAATTTTTTTTTTTTCATTCAAAAATAGGTATTGAATGTGTGTGCAGCCAGCTTCCTCTTTAGTTTATTTCTCTGTATCCCTGCAGTACATGCCAGCAGATCATGTTGTATAACTAAATTTTACAGAAAGAACCTGAATTGAGAATGAAAACCAGTGTCTTACATTATATTTTCTTGAAAAAGCTCATTTAATTTAGAATGATGTATACTATACTATAGACTAGTATTGTTTATTTTGTTGATAGTAACAGGACAAGTGAATGTATAACAATTTACATAATCAAAACATACCGATTAATTTACAAACAGCAAAGTAGTTACGTAAACTCTGCATGACTATCTAATATTTCACTTTCTGAGGCATCCTTCCAGTCCATGTAATAAGGAAAAGGGTTTGATTTATGGAACATGCAGATAACAAAGGTTTCAAGGAGATTAGCATCACTTGAACAGTTAGGCAGATCTTCCAAATGTTTCAAAAGCGAGTAGATCATTAGTAATATATTTGTTTTTCTCTCCAAAGCAAGAGTTAAAGAAAATATTAATGCATCACTGCACTCAAAGCCCTTAATATGCTGATATTCAATACAAATATTAAACAGCATTTGATAGAATTAAATAAGTCATGCAGTGTGAACTTTGAGAACATGCTCTTTCACTGAACACTGAATGACCATGAGTCACAGTATAATGCAGAAAAACATGCAATAACCTATTCCTTTATATGGTTGAAAAGAACTGGAAACAAAATACATCGCAGATCTAGTGCAAACAGTTCTTTAACTGCCCATTATTTTACATGTAAATGGTGATATTCAATATAGCTGACGATATTCAACACAGCTGTATGCAATATAAACATTTAATATTTCAGACTGACAAAAAACTTAGAAAAATCAACATGAGATCAGGATAGGTCTTAACTGGATAAAGTGGCAGCTCCAACTTCTGTTTTATGTATTTATAAGTAGGTCACAGTTAATTGTTCAGCTTTGTATGTAGTTTAGGTGGCAGTGACCAGCTGACGGCAAACATCCTGAAGATCTCTGAAATGTTTAGATTCCTAGTGCAGAGAAGCACTTCAGAACAAAACCAGCACAGTTGCTGGGCTGCATTTTGCAGATATGCTGACCCTCTTGTACGTGACCTAATCCCTGGGCTGTGCTCCTTGGTTTTATTTGCTTAGATCTCCACCAACCAGCCCCTCAGGACTAAAGCTGTATCTATTCATGTAGCTGCTCTTTACTAGCTGCCAATAACACAACTAACTCCCGCAACATCAGAAACTTAGAAAGCAAATGAAGGCCACACTACATAAGTAACTATCACTGGCTGCAACCTTAAATCAGCCTGGGGAAGATGCTATTATGATGAGAAACCACTGCTGAATCAGTTCAGATACTGCACTTAATTATCATGGCTACATGATTTCTTGACTGGAGGCTGGGGCTCACAATCAAATTTCTCTATTCTAAAGAAATGGTACCAAATTTACAAGGAAAGAAAGCAGAAATTTCAGGACACAATGAAAAGGACAATAAAAAGTTGTACCAAAGGAAACAGCAGCAGTAAAAACATTTTCAATGGCATTAGAGTATATTTATAACTATATTATATAAAATACAGATTGCAGATCATCACAGAAACCTCACCAACAAAATAATTTTGAAAAATTATGGAATAAAGTGGTGTGGAGGGAAGAGATAAAAATAAAAGGCAGGCATGGTCCAACTTTGTAGATAAATTAGTAGGAGCTGGATATTTCTGAGTATCCTAAGGTATACAGTGACAAAGAGATACGTGTGAAGGATTAAGTTCTGTACCAAATAATTCCATTTACTAAAAAACTTTGGCAGGCCTGTGTCAAGTTAAGGTCAGTTTGCCATCCTATATATGGACTTTCCTTGCTCAAATGCCTCTTTGGTGGTGGCTTTGTTTTACTGCAACTAACACGACTTATATATCCCAAATTCATATATAGTGGTGAAAGTCTTTTTCTGATGGAGTATGTGGGCCAACAAAATTGCTTTTACCAGCAATGTTGCGTATTAAAAGCCAGTAACAACTCTGACTAGTCTAAATTACATGAATGATTGTATAGAATTCAAGTAATCATTTCCAACAAATCACAGACAGAGAAACAGGGCTCTGCTGACCATTGGTTACACACATCTAGTACCATTTTGTCAAAAAAATCTCAGTTGGACTACTTTAACTCTTGAACTCAAATCTAGTTTCCACCCTTTGAGACAAAAGGTTGGGGGTGGGCGGGATAAACAGAAATAATTTTCCATAACTGAGCATACTTATACTCTTGTTGAAGAAAATATACTATGCCACATTTAGAAGACTACCTTTATATTTGGAGAATTCAAAGTCTAAATTTTTTAATAAAATCTACAATTCCATCTGAAGGGCAGAGAGGGGACATGAAATGCCATGAAAACAACAAACAATAAGCTTTAACATATGTTAAAGTAACCTATCTTACTGTACTTTAAGACCCTTATTCTTGTCTTGTTCAGCACAGAAGCAAAATTCTTTCTACATACCTTGAACTTAATTGTGCTCTTCCAACTAAAGACTCCTCTATGGTCACATGCAGCTGATCACTAACTTCATATTAAAGTGCAAGCAGATACATTCAACAGTGAGAATTAAATCTTCTAAAACTAGCTTCCCCTAAACAAATAAGGTTAATTTAGTATGTTTTATATATTAAATGTAACATCTTCCTCCAAAAACTAGGTTGTATTGGAAAAACATAATTTATCTTGGAAGAAAAGAAGAAAGTCCTAAATCCCCTAAGTCACATAGATCTTATTATTTTAAGCAAAACCATCATGGAAAATTTAAATATGAATTTCCTAAAAAAGCGCTTTTCAGCAGCCACAAGAACCATGCCAGGTCAAAAGCACCTACTCAGGACTTCTAAAAGCAAGGAAATAAAAGTGTCATAGTGATGGACAATTTTTCTCCATCAGGCCCACAGATAATTTGACAAAACCATGTTTTTAGCAGCATTAGAGGCCATTAACACAGACTAAACAGTTTTCTTCATGACGAGCTCATGAAAAATGCTGTAGATTTTTGCAGTGCCTATTGGACACGTGTAGCTGGATATGTATTATAAAGATATTATAGAACTAGTTAACATCACTGACAGGTGTAGTTTTGAGTATATTTTAACTAGACAGTTTAGAATTGCCAGTTACTGTTTCATTGGATGTTCAACTTCATAGGTGGCATTCTGAACTAAAAGTACAAAACATACTGCTCATGTCCATACATGATTACATTAAACAGCTAATTGTAGATTAATATAGTTATATAAATCTACACACCTAGTTATTAATATGATGCTACAATACTTTTTTAAAAAAATAGAATGATATTCTGTATTTCATTCTGAGTAGCCTTGTTTATGTGGTTTTTTGTTTGTTCATTTTTTAATAACTATGCCTATAGTATCTATGATATCTTGAGCAAAATCTTAAAAAGGAATGCACTAGTGTAGATCCAGCTGAGATACCTCAGTAGAACATTAGTCACTTCTCTGCAGCAAAGGCACAAGCTGAGAAAAGCAAAGTTCCAAACAAGGTGCAGAAGGAAAGGGGAAAGGGAAATTTCACAAAAAACTTGTTAAGAACCTTATTCTAAAAAGCAAAGTACATTCCTATTGCCTTTTTTTTCACAGATTGTCTCCCATAATAATGAAAATGATGCAGCTGTTTTAACCACCATGTGGTGGGTTGACTGACAAAGCAACTTTGCATTATTAGCTGCCACACTAGTTAAATATGAACTACAGAGATGAAATTTTAAGTCCATCACATTCCCAATCAATGGCAGTCTATTACTGTCTCCAGTGAAGCTAAAATCTCACTCTGCAATAACAGTTCTTAGCCAAAGAAACAGGTGGTGATGAAAAATTCCCTCATGGAACAATACCATATCTCAAACACACCAACAGTATTTGGGTTCACCTAAGATTTTTGAACCAAGCTCCTGTCATATTAAAAACTTAGAAAGCATCCATTAAATGCCTGCACAATGTATGCGACAACAATGTTTCACTTGTATTGCAAGCATGTCTTCTTTAGACTTATGTGAGCCTTAATAGAATGTCACAGAGTGAAAAAAATGTCAGTGATTTGCCTTGTGATTGCCAAAGCAGATGCAGCAGACTAGATTAAGAGAGCAATGAAGTTTGGCTGTTTTGTAGAGAATACATCACTATACAAACTACCGTTCCAGTTTGAAATATGAAAGTTTTGTAATAATTTATAAATTGTCACCCCCTTATTAGAAGTCCACAGAACAGGCAAGAAACAAATAGAATACTTTTTAGCAAATGATGATGAGGATTAACAACTCTGTCAAAATACTCAACACTGCAACGCTATTATCAGCATACTGAGGACTTTTGTAAACAATGACATCAGCTTGAATTAAACTAAGGAAAGAAGCCAGAAGCAGTTATAAACTCCAACACACAATTTACATGACATACATGAACAGAGGAGCAAAAATGTCTACAAATACCAAAGCAGAGATGAATGCACAAGAATGTAGAGTACTCATATGAAGAAAAACAAAACTGATAGAGATCACCAGCACAGATGACAAGAAATTTGTAAGTTTTTATTTTATACCTTTCTCGTTCTGGTGAATGCAAACTAGTATCTGGTCTCAAGCAGTTGGTACTAGCACTCCTAGCCCTGTCAAGGGAGGGCTGTAGTTCACTAGTGCCAGTGCATTGCATCCAATGGTAGAAGAGAAAGAAAAAGAAAACAAAGAAAGGAATACCATGTTAGATATTAACTCATAAAATAATGCTCTCTTTACAGAAAATGTAGAATCAACAATGATTTAATTAAGGAAAACAAAAAAGCTGACCAGATGACAGTGCCAAGATTTGTTTAGAAAATAAAAGCAAACAAAAGACTGCCAGAATTTTTTTTGTTAGGTAGTTGAAATGTTTAAAATTGAGACAGAACAACGTCCACTTCTAAGAAAGTGGAATGAATACCAAACAATAAATTTAAACCCTTATTAACAACAGTAAATTTTTAAGACAACATAAAAGGATGTGATACACTATATATTATGTGAAATCACTTTACAGCGAAGCTTATTTATTCTGCAAATCCATCTTAGGTACCAAACAGGAGGGGTGATGAATCCTCAGTTTCTTACCTAACCAGTAGGTCATCTCCAAATTTCGGTACTTGTGAATTAAGGCAATCACGAAGGAGTGAAATATCCTGTCTAATCACAGATTTGGTCTTAGCACATGCAGGAAGAGTTGAGCTTTGTAAATTAAAATTTTTTAAACAAAATGAAAATAAATTTGATATGTAACCAAAATCTTATACACAAACAAAAGAATGTAACAATGAAAAACATGCAACACAAAATTTTAACAGTGAAGACAACTCTACCTAATACAAAGTGGTTTGGTTTGGGGGTTTTTATAATGTTAGCTGTAATGTTAATTAATGTATTTAATGTAAATTTAATTAATTTAAATGGTTATATGAAGTTATTGTAGGATTACATCTCTGTTACGAAAACTGTATGAATTCTTTATTTCTTTAACAGGCCAAGACTATTTGTTTGAGAAAGGAACTAGCTACTTAAAGGGGACTCTCAAGAGCCTTACCTGTATAGATTCCAATGAGTACCATTTTCTAGTAAAGGCATCTTGGGTGGTAATGTTTTATAGTGCCTAACAGAACTTCTTGAATATGGTGGAACAGAAAAGAAAACAGAACAACAGAAGAAGATGCCAGAAATAAAGACAGGTAAAAGACAAGATTGACCATAATGTAAAATAAATGCATAATATTCTACTACATTTAATAGCTGTATGAGTAGGTTTCTCAATGTACATTTTTTCTCAACTACTGTGACAGCTATCTGGGGGACAAAATTTTCTATTTATACTTTTGTTAATACAGTCTGCAAACTCATGACAATGCTAGTACAGCTCAGATTTTTTCCTTGTAATGAAAGTTATCTAAATTCCACTTATGGAGACTTTTAACTAAAACATACAAGCTCTTGTAAAGGATTAGGTGGAAATTAAACTAGATTTGTATTTCTCTTGGTGATGCCTTACTTAGACCTACAGAGAGTTCAACCACTTCAGTAGCAAAGTATGAAAAGTTTGCTAAATCAGTGATATATAGTGTCACAAACTTAATTATAGATATATTAGCATCTGTCATTTTTCAGTGTAAGTCTTTCGAAAGTAGCATATCAGCTTCAAAATCTAGCAGTAATTAAATGCTATCAATAATAAGCTAATTTAAAAACCTGGATCTACTCCATCAGCCAACACAGCAGCACTCTGAGATGTTACATGACAACTGTCTAATATCGTTTACAGCATACGAGATTTTAGAACAGGACATGTTTGTTTTATTATCCAGCTCTACTCAATGAAAAAAGGAGAAATTTAAAGGCGGACAGTGGCTGCCATTTAATAGCTAAAGGTTAATAACCAAGTCCTAACAAATTGTCACATACCCTACCAGAACACAGCTGCAGTGCTACTACGGGAAGGACCAGTAGCCTTGAGGATTTTGCAGCTTCTAGAACAGTCTGTCCTAATAGGACATTTTGATTCCTGTCATGGCTTGGACCCAGGCACAGCAGACCAACATTACAAATCCAGCTGTGTCACAGACAGATGAAACCACTCTCCTCCTAGAAACCAGTGTTTGTAAAACCCTGAGGAATTTGAAAGAGGAGCTTTAACCTTTCACGTACGTGTTCAGCACTCACCACTGCTAACATCTCTACTAGGGGCCACTGATGCTGCAAAGCTGGAATAAAGGGCTGGTTGTCCATCAGGTCAATCCTGGCATACCAGCAGGTATTATCAATCACAGTGGGTGTGATCTAAGACATGGAATGTGACAACCCATGGTCTATGGCATAGGTGTACATGTCCACCCACCATTTCTGCTGCTGGTCAATAGCTGCATACAGATGGCCAGGATGGACAGCTAGGATTTGTCTTCTAAATCAGTGTATTAAACTAACCATATATCTTAACTTTGTAGCCTGGACTACCCCATGCTAATACTTCTTCCATTTAACATTAAACTCTGAACATTTCTTTCCCATTTTAAGATGAAGCTGTCTCAACAATTAATGAAAACATTGTTCAGCAAGCTGACTAGAAAGCAAAGAAAAAGCCTTACGTTTCTCACACAAATAAATGTTAGGCCACTACAAATGAGAAAGGACAAAAGACTGCAAACAATGCGCAGACCAAATTTTGTTGAAAGGGTTTTTGAGACTCTTCAGCCAAGGATAGACCCTGGATAATTTCTGGGTATTATTTAAACTTGGATTAGGCTGTATAAGCCTCAAAGAATTAAAAATCAATCTATTGTTTTCTATTGCCCTTATATTCACCTTCAATATATTATTAAAACTACCATTCTGTTTTATAGTATACCATTACTGTTAGTTTAAAGAGATGAATTTGTTACTTTTCTTGAACATAAAAAAACCCTCAGCAATAACTAGAATAAAGAAAAAGGCAAGGGCTGCCCTCTCTGAATTCAGTGTAGACAAACTCTGTTGCTGCCCATGCACAATTTTTAGCTGGTGAACAGGTCAGACTGGTTAGCAGATTTGTAGAACTACTGGAAACCTATAGTGGCTGGTCAAAGTGCATCAAAAGCTCATAATACAATATTTACTTTGTGAATTAAGTGACAATTTAATCACTGTCATTCAAAAAAATCTAATGAAAATCATAATCTTTAAGAGGGAAAGGAATAAGCAGAGTTGGAGTCAAGGAGGGGTGTGAAGCTATAGAAGATGCTGCAGAAAGGGAAAGGACGCCGGAAAAAAATTGCTATTATATGACAATAAATGGACTTAAAATAACAGGGACTTAAATTATTAACCTTTAAAACCTAAAATGTTGAGGAAAAAAACTTTTTCTGAAGTATGAGATTGAAACTCTTTCTACTGATAATAAAAACTTTAACAGCTTCACTGATGCACAGATTTTTTTTTTGTAATATCATATTTCTTATTTTACCTTTATACTATTGTGCCTTAGAACCCTATCACAGCATCTCTGATGCTGTTTCAAATTCAATGAAGAGAATTCAAGAAAACCAAGCCATATTAAAAAAGCCCACTACTCCATAGGGGACATTTCTACACCAAGTAAATTAATAAGGTAAGACAACATAGTTTTAAAAGTTTGATGGTTTTAAACACATAGCACTGATGTAAAAACTCAGCAACACCCAGATCCCAAACAGAAAAATACTTGGTTGAAGTAGTTGAATAGTTCACTACTTAAACCTGCATTTTTATGGATTCTAAATGGAAGATTTTCTACACAATCTGCCATGTATTTTTTACAAAGTTAACAGATGTGGTGGAAAAAAAAAAAAATTAAGCAGGGCCAGAATTAGATTTGTTTGATAAAGATATTTCAGTCCCATTTAGTTTCACAACATTGGGAAGAGTTGAGACTGAGCTCCAAGGTTTGGAATGAGAGATTAATGAAGACTGAAGAGAGCCCGAACTAGAAAGTTTATGTCTGGATCTAACTCATGGCACAATTTGTAGATGCAAAGCAAATAATATTTGACACCTCAAATCTGGGGTTCCCAATGAGCCCTCATTAATTGCTGCTCTTTCCTCTACAAGTGACAAAAATCAACAATAGATTAGGCATCACAACAACTAAAGATTGTTGGCTTGTGCGTGGCTGTAATATAAACACAAAAATGCAAACAAAATAAAACAGAGACAACTAAAAAGGGGTGTTTGAAATTATAACAACACTGTCATGCATTGGGAGATCAGGAGTTCTGTGACTAGACAGAAAATCCAGCACAAAATACAACTGCAAAATCAGAATGTCTTCAAATGCCTTAATCCATACTGCTGAAATTCACAGACACATATACACACCCCAATCTGAATTAAAATGAACAAAAAAGAACAACTGACACTTGGTTCACAATGTACTGGGAAGTTCTTTAATTACGGGGAGTAAATACCACTATGGAAAAACGTTGGGCACACAAAGTATAGACAACTAACCAGACGTGTTCATCATTACCAAATTCCTGTATTTACCTGATGGTATGTAGGCACTCTGCACTTCTTCCTCGTTTTGCTCTGGGCAGCATAAGAAGCTCACTGCACAGACAGGATGGGTGGTGAGTGAAACAGATATCATTATGAAGCATTAGATGACATGGGTTTATGCCAATGATATGCAAATGAAAACATAAAAAGAAACAAGAAGCTTCCACCCAGGTAGACAGTCTGATAATGTTCAAACCAAGACTGCACTTCTCAAAATGTATGAGCCAAAACCCGCCTGTGATAACTACAATTTCAACAAATTTCTATCAGCATGGCACCTCATCTTGTGGGATTTCTCTTTTTAAAATTCAGAAGTCTTGTTTCTGAACTCTTCATGACAAAAGGAATCCATAAAACAGCTGCATTTTTCTAATAACCGCCTTTCTCATGAACTATTTAATGAAGAAATTCTTTAGAAAAAAAGAATGATACTCAGTGTTGGTTGCCTTTTTTTTACTTTCTAAGCCACAAAAACACACAAAAAGCAAGGGAGGGTTTGCTACTAATTTGCTGCAGATCAGTTTATGGGAAGAGTAACAGACACCCTTTTAGGAAAACCAAAAATATATGTTCACTGGAAATACTACAGTTGGCCAAATATCAACTAACTCATAGCTCTTGACAGAATATTGCAATACAATCCCATGGTAACAAAAAGATTGCTGATCAGCCAAACTTGTTGCTTCACACTGTTTCCAATTGAGAAAATCAGCTGTCTATTCTGTTTTTCATTTACTGTAACCAAACACATGCTACAGCCAGCAAGATGGTAAAATTAATACATACTTATGCCTATGGTAAAAATGACTATGGTATGAAATATCCTTTGAATTAATCGTGTAGTTTTACACACTTCAACACAATCAGAAAAGCCAAGCTCCAAACCTCCTAATTATTATTATGAAATAAAACCTTAACTTCATGGAAACATGCTATTTTAAAAGCAGCAGAGAATCACATGAAGTACTATGATGACAAAGAGAGAAAAAAAATTACAAAATAGATAAAGTAGCAGTTCAACGTGTTTTGTGCTTCATGCTCTTATAAAATGACCCATTTAACTGATGCATCATAGGTAATATTTATAAGGAATTCTGAATTAGGCAACTTGAAATAATGGCTTGTGAGTCACGTGTGATTTTTAACTTTGCATCTGGAACCACTAGCCTGATTTTGATGGAACAAAATGTATTATAGTGTAAGGGGTTTTTTTAGGTAAATTTCCATTCATAAGCTCAGAGGACTGACAGAATTTAAATGTAGGTTTCCAAATTACAAATAAATACGCATTTTAGGAAAAATAATTACCCTTTCCTTAACAATAGATGCAAAGTCCACAATAAACCATTAATATTTACTCTACCCTTGCTAAGACATAGGGTATCTATTATAATTGGCCCACGGCAAACAGCAATATAAAATTCATCCAGAAAAGGGATATAAAATAGCAAATCCACCATGAAATCTTCAAGTCGGAAAAGCAAAGCAAAAGAATCCATCACAGTAAATTACTGATGTCAGAAGATATAGTTCTATAATAAATTGTCTGGTTTGAAGACAGTTAAAGAGTATTATTCTAATACAAGTGTTTTCTAATACTCACATTAACGGATTTTATTTAGGAATAAAAGAAACTAAAAAATGGTCATGCCCTTGAAAATTGGATGATAATCCTGATGACCCTAATTTCAGAGCAAAGTACTGCTTGACTAGGTTTCCTAATAAAAAGCTTTTCCTAACAGATTTATATATATACATACACATGCAGGTGTATGTATGTATGTAAAAATATTAAAAAAAAACATAAAAGTGGACAAATCAGTTCCACTGGAAATTTATTACACCACATGCTTTAGTAAGACAATATTATAATTATTTTTCAAAGATCTATTTGGAATATTTAATATTAGTTTAGGACCAATACCAGATGACTGAGCAACTAATCAAAAGTAACCAGCAACTGTAATTTCTGCCCTGTAACTACTGGGTCATCACTCAACTTTCAAACCTAGGTTACATTAAGTACCTACACGTGTGTTACTGGTTTAGATTAAGGGTTCAGTAAATGAAGAACACATACTTATGCTGCTCTTGATACTAATACATAATACTGAATAAAGATTTTTTTTTTTTCTTTTAAAACCTTGGATGTGACAGAGAATCTTCCTCAGCAAAAGCTGGTTTTGTTCTTCCCTATGATGCTGCAGTTATGCACTGAAAGACAGTGAGACCTGGAAGAGTTAAACAGTTTACACAACTGAAGAAATCTGGGGGAAAGATGAAAGGGAAAATAGGGAAAAAGGAAACCACTGCAGACAAGATTATTACTCAGAGAGAGTAAGCACATGGACTCTGCAAATAAGCCAGGTCCATCCTTTATGTCTGATCTTTAAACTTCTGGAAAGAGTTTTCTGAACACTGAAAAGAAGTGAAGCCTGTGTCTTACTCCTCTGAACGTATCCAGCAGCCCATTGCTGCTGTGGCTCTGGTCCAATAGCTCACTTCCAAGAGAGCTCCCCTGCAAGCCTTGCTCTCCAAGCATAATCCATGTCTATATCATCAATTGTATCACGGTTTGAGGCCTTACTAGAAGAAAACTTTCTAGACATTTAACTGTCTATAACTACTGAGAAAAGCTATTTTCTAATGTCTCTTCCTGTTGAGATCTGCTGAGTAAGAGATCTATTCAACAAATATCTTCAGGAATATTTTGAATATATCACTACTTCCAAGAACTAACAACATGAAACATTTGCAACAAGTGGAAATTACTTGAATTAGCTTAACAATAAATCTGACTACTACATTCAGTACAAGAATGTAACTTAGACAATTCTGTACATACTTCTTGCCTGCAAAGTTGAATTTTAAAATGTTCCAGAAATAACTAATTCCCATATGCATGTTATCACCTTAAAAAGGCAAACCAGGCAAGTTCATATATAAAACTGAACTAGTTTAAGTGCAAAAGCCATCAATTATTCAATTTCTATGTTCCTTCAAAACTGGACAAACAATTTCAGGGATTTTTAAGGTTTACTTTTTACATATTTTTACATCCCTGTGAAATATATGTTCTGTATTGAATTTACCAGAAAGGTTTTGTCATCCTTAGTCATTAAACCCAGTAACTTACTGCAAAAAGAAAAAAAATCCAAAGACATTACTAGGACAATTGATCTCATGTGAATGTAAAAAAAATTGCCATTATAGTTTAGCTGTATCATTTTCTTAAAGTAAGCAAACAATCCACAAATACTGATAGCCTATGTGGCTGTCATCACGTTTCTCAAATACTGAAGTACCGTTTTAAACTCTTCTCAGGTCTAAAGAGAAATCCTTGTTTCCTCCTATTTTATTAGCATATATTCCTAGACACTTGAATATAATGCCTACTAGGAAAAACCAAGCATTGTCTGAGGAGTACTGCCACTCCATGTGTTACAGGGAGAAATGTGTACATGTCACATGTCTAAGACTGGAGATTTTTGCTAATTACCAACACCACAGTTACCCTTGCTATGCTTGGGTACTGTACCAAGTTCAGCAGAATGTTATGTAAGCTGCTGTGAGACTGCACATATAGATGTCCAAAATCTACAAGCACAGTAATGGAAATCATAGCATATGCAACTCCCAACCAGCAGGAATGTATGCCTGGTATTTTGGCTACTGAAACAGATAAACTCTGAGTTACAAGAATAGTTACAGCATATTTGTAGATATGGTTTTCTAGGAAAAAAAATCTCTGGGCTTCATTCATTAAATAAACTGCACAATAGTCTAGAACACACACCCAAGAACCTTTGGTCTAGACGTGCGCTATTACTCAGTGCAAAGTTTTACCAAAAAATTAACCATGACACTAGATTTGTTAGTTAGGACTATTTCTTCCCTTCCCCATTATCATCAGTTGTGTTTCTACTGAACACTTAAAAATTAGGCAAACCAACAAAGACATTTCTAAACTTTTTTCCAAGTTCAGGCTGGTAATGTACCTTTCCTGATCAGACAAATACTGACTATCCACATCTCTGGATCTGTAATCAACTGGAGTTCTGGAGGCATCATGGTGTCTAGTTGGAGAACGTGATCTTCTCATTTGATGAATTTCATCTAAACTCCTAAAAGGCAGAAATACATATGATAATCTTATTTTCTCATAAATGACACAGCTTAATGGATTACAGTAAAAGTTGGTTGAACCAAGGTTTTCATCAATAAATTGTTATTATATGACTTCTAAAAGAATATTGAATCCAAAGATTAAAAACCCTCATACTGCTAAGTACAGAAAGCAGATATTTCCACCATATTTAGAAGTATGTGCCTCTTTCTGCGTACACTGATGGATTCAGTAATGGCATTTCAAAGCCTGTACTTAACGAATAACTGAAATAACACTAGAACTGGTAATATCTCACATGAAATTAAGTTTTATGCCTTTGTAGATTCATAATGAGACTTCTAAAGAGCAGATTTGGGGCTGTCAACTTTTTGTAGGTATCTCCAAGTATCCTTTATGAAATTCTGGGAGAAGATATGGGAACTTGCAGCAGATTTTATCAATCTCAAATTGTTATACAAAAGGGATACGTTTTTGTATAAACGCAGGTAAGTTCTGACCTCCATGACAGCAATTTAAAGCTCTCTTCATATGGAAAAGAATAAGAAAAGGAACTACTATTTGAAGGGCAGATTCTTCCTTTAGTTTAAAAACTGACATTGGAGCAAGAAGCGTTAGTTCTTCTAAGTATAAAATGAACGGATGGGTGGAAATGACTACAAAATATTTCATTTGTGCATTGTGCTTGTAGATAGAAAGATACAACAAAAGCCCATATAGTTGTTGGCAAAAAAACAGAACATGGAGCTCTCATTCTATCTATTAAAAAAATGAGTCAGTGCCAGAGTCTGTTTTATGTATAGCCATACTCTTCTATCTGTTAAGAATGCGTTACTAACAAATGCAACAGCAAGTGATTTGGTGGATAGTGAAATAGCTCCATTTATAAGAACTGATGAACAGAAGGGGATGCATCCAGGGACTTAAGCTTACAAAATTTCAATGCACAAAAACAGTGTATTATATTGCACTGAGGATGAAAAGGAAGAAGCAAGATCATCAGAATTGTCAACAGGGAGAAAAAGCTGGTTTTATAGATTATACCATCATTTTGAAACATCACAGATCTCTGGTACTAAATGACCAGTGATGGAATTAAAAAAAAAAAAAAAAAACAGGCATAGAAACAATGGAAAAGAACAGAATGATAGTACAGAATCTTGCACACAAAATTCAGCAAAGGGCAGCTGTTCAGTAAACTACTCCAGCTAGTGGGCAATAATGTTACTAGTGCAACACTTGAAACTCATGCAGTAATTCAACACCAAGGTTTCCTGGAAATTATGGGGAAAGGAAGACTAGTAAAAACAGGGTTTTTTTAAGGTTCCATGAGAGGGTGCAGGAGAAGCTTACTGCCCTCCATAATAAAACAAACAAAATCAAGAGGGTCTAGCTGTGTGCTTAAACAGTCTGCATGGCACTATTCAAAAAATGCATATAGCATGCAAATTAAAATCTCCAAAAGGATTCTCCTATTAATAGGTTGTCTTAAAATCAGTAAATGCAGAAAATAGAGATTTATGCATCACCAATTCTGTAAAGTGTTTTTTATGTCTTCCTTTTAAAGTGTCACATTATAAATACAATTGGTATTACTTGCTGTTACTTCAAAATTAGTTCAATTCATAGGTATTACACAATTTGTACATGTCACTGTTCTCCTACAAATATACTTAAGTGGTTTCACAAAAGATTCAGTCACTGACTGAAAAAAACATTTCCAAGCATACATACTAGTTATGGTACACAGACGTTAAATAACAAAGAAAATATCACTAATAGAATAGGTTAAGTCCTATAAAGTTACAATTCACCCCATGAGTGCTCTTCAATAATGAAAAAAATCATGCATCGGGTTCAGATACTATTCAGTTCAGATACAAAACAAAGTTTTAAAATTGTGAAGAAATGCTCAGCAGGAGAAAAGTTAATAATGACAGAATACACAAACTGGAAACCACCCAGAGTTTCACTAAGCTGTGATGCCTACCTCTGTAATGGCACATTTGGTAAACGTGAACGGGTCCTGCCCTGATCATCACCACGGTGAGGAGATACAGATCGTGAACGATGATGTGCTGCTCTTTGCTGTTCTGGCACAGTTAGCGTTGTGGATTTACTTTCTCTAGTGCTAGGCCTATAACCTACTGGCAAGAGGGCAACAAAAGGAAATTAGAGAATAAAAGTCTGAGTTTGGAAAGAATTCAGATGGGTAGTCCTTCCAGGAACACACATCTAAACATTTACAGAACTTCCAAGTTGTCATTCAGCTGTGGTACATCCCAACATGTCATGCAGCCAGGGTAAACTACTAGCATTACCTTTAAATGTCTACATCTACAGGGGTAGAGAAACTGAGATCAGTTTCATTATGTACAGGAAGCGTGGAGGATACAACTGAAATAGTTTTCTGACTTGAGGAAGAGTACCCAAAGTAACTTGTATTTCAAAATTGTCATTAGGTAGCAAATATTTGAAAGGAATCCAAGCAACATAGGTTTACCTCATCTAACAAATGGAGAAAGAATGCTTGTGTATGACAGCATAGACTCATCCAGGACTGCTCATATATAAAGAATCCTTCCGAGTCTTGTTTCAGTTAAATACAAAGATGTTCTCCAACTAAACTTGGCCAAAGCCACCTATTTTCAAAAATTATGAGCATTTAGAATAGATTATATAGAATATTTGGTATTAGATACTCTGCACAACATTTTATCAGAATACTATGAAGAGTGGTGAAATTTCTTGTAGTTAATTATCACAGAGGATTTAAAAGAAAAAAAATAAAATCAGCAGGATGTTAGTATGTCTTAAAGCATTGATATTCCTCTGCCTTTTTCCACAAAGAAGGCCGTTTGCCTTGTTAGACACTTTGAAACCCATCTTAAAACAGACAATGAAGCTCAGTAAAATGAGTGGCTTTCAAAATGTGCCTGTTATCTTTCCAAAAGAGCCTCAGGAGATTTGCTCACTTCACTTGCTTGCTTCTAGACATTAAAATTAGATTACAATAATCCCTTGACAGAAATTCCCTTAATGACAGAAAGGTTCATCGCTAAAATCATCCCCTAATGACTTCACAAAATACTGTTTAGATCCCAAAATAATAGTTTTGCTGCTTCTCTGGATTTAGGTAGTGTTACATCCCTGTGATGTGTTATTTTCTTCACGTAAAAAAGCAGCCTGTATCAGAAATCTTTCCATGTAGGAAAAGATCATGAATTAGTCACTCAACCATCAACCAGATAAATTAAATAAGTTGTACTTTTTAAGGATCGTGTTATAGAGTTCCAAATTTGTTTTTTTCATATTTTGTATAATTTTTGTAATTTTTCTCTGATCTTCTACTGAATTCTTACAGCCCTCTTAGAAGTGTGGCCCATATGCAGAGTTTGTATTAGGCTTGGTGTGTATTCAATGACATTGAATGACCTGTTTAGTTCCAAAACTGAAGCCTGAAAACAAACTTCATGAAGCATTCATGCCTTTTTCCCCCAACTGTGCATCAGTTTGCCAACATATTCTGATGGACATCTAACTTATCTGAATGCATGATCTCATTATCAGACCTGGAGGAAAGCACTTTGTTAAAACAGAGAGTCGCAATCCTAAAATAAGAATATCTTTCACCATAGAACAGGTTCATCTTAGTAACACAAAACTGAGAAGAGGGACCTACTAGATGATGTATTTTATCATCCAACAAACTCTCGGACTGTTTTGCCTGATTATACAGCTTATAATATGGCCTCCAGAACTGTGTTCACCTTTTGTACAGTACTGAACTTGCAAAATTTATCCAAAGATAACAGAAGAGCACCAAGGTGCTGTAGTAGCCTACAGTAGGTTTTACCTTTACACCAACCCTGAAGCAACTTCAGTAAATAAAATTAAAAAACAAGGTTGTCTTATGATTTGTTTTTAATATACTTAATACTACAAATACGATAGGGCAAGGCACATAGGAAGGAGACAATACTGACAAAAAAAATTAGACCGTTTTATTAAAGACTTTCTGCTTACTGTCAGCTAGAAAACAAATGCAGAAAGACCTTCACAAGTTCTGCTGTCATTTTGTCCAACTTTGTTTCTTCTACTTCATAGTATAGCAGCTGGTGTGAGAACATAGGAAATTATTTTTTTCTTCCATTTCTTGAAGCAGAGGGGATGAGGTTAATAAATCAGGGAAACAAGAAGCACTATGAGTACTGATAGACCTTAGAGTGTATGAGTGCACCGAAATAAAAGCACTCATAACTAGAATCTATGACATAGCTCAGAAACGTACATCGAGGACAATGACATTGAGGGCACATATGCATTGCTCTCAAACAACACTGTGTCAAACAAAACACAAAAACACATGTCAACTAAAAGTAATGAACACAATTTCATATTTAAAATGTGACATTACTCATGTTTGGGGAGGGTGGGAGCTATTGTTTGAAAACCAGAGAATACTTGGAGAAAAAACTTTCGGGAGGACGCACTTGTAGCTACAGAACAGCGCTCATAGTAGCTAGAAAATCTTAAACAGCATTTTTAATAGCAAAGCTGGATTGAGTACTGACTGCAAAATAGACCTGTAAAAGTTGATACCACGCATGAAAGTATCTACCAAAGTTTATCAATCTTTGACAAAGGAGGACTCCAATGTTTCACAGATTTTGATGCACCGCGATGCTGGAGTACCATACCAGCTGAAAAAGCATTTCACAGTTGTGTAACAGAATTACAAAGTATGAGTATCCCCCTGACCTCAGGACAAGGACCAGGTACAAATTTTTAAGCAAAAAAGGGACTCTCTCAGAACTTCAATGAAGATCCCCTCATCTCATGTACTAAAGTTGCTGCAGAAAATGTATGGATTTTTTTTTGTCACAGACAGAAAAAAAGACATGACAAAAGCTTGATGTGTTCCCTTTCCCAGGATAACAAAATCTAACTATTTGCTAAAAGATACTTCATTTTCCAAACAAGCTTGTTTTAGATAAAATTCTGCCATCTCTATCAGAAGGAACACTAGTTTACATTTATTCAACACTAAAATCAAAGACATAAAACTTCTTTCCAAGCCGCAGGCAACTGCATTGGAATACATATAACTTAAATATAAAAAAAACAAATATAAAATTCAGTTTAAAATATATTTCTCGAGTATTTCTAGTTTGCCTAAAAAATACACCTAGGATTATCCTGTACAGTTAAAAATCTGATACCGAACAATTTTATCCTATATATTCTTCATAGCCAAGCTATCCAGGGAACAATATCGTAAACTTGTGCATTGTACATACACAAAGCTTACAGAACAGACAGAGCAACAGCAATTTCACATTTATCCTAAGTATTAGCTCAAGTATTGTCAAGCTAGTCTAATGGCATCCATACTTCCACAGTGACCACAACAGTGACAGCAACAATAACATTTCCTCATAATCTCAAGCACAAAGGCTCTGTGCTCTCCAGAGTGAGCAGAGAATTTTTTTTTTTGCATGGACCAGCATGATAGCAGCACTCAAGCTTATGGTATGTTATGTAGAAGAAGTTTCTCAGTTGTTTTTGGGAAACTCTCAGGTGTGACATGAAATAGAAGCTGGATGGATGATGAAAATGGTTCTAGCAAATGTTTGATACCAGAAGTTTGTTAGTTTTTTAAACAATACAGACAGTGACAAGGTGTTGTGTTATTTCACCCTGCTGCTACAGTAGGAAGGCAAGTACAATGCAGCCATTTATACAGACTACCTACAATAGAAAAATAAATTGCTCTGAAGAGTTACCTATAGCATAAGCAATAGAGCTTCTTAAAAAATAGTCTTTGGGATACTGCCCAGTCTATATCAGCCTTTTCTCTTTTTAATTAAGTTACTGAAGTTTTGGTTAAAAAGACAGGCCTCAAAACAGGTTTGGTTTTTATTAGATTCATTACTGATCCTTTAGTGACCCTTCCTACATACTCAGCATTGGTGAGGCCACCTCTGGAGTACCGGACTCCCCAGTACCAGACAGACATGGAGCTACTGGTGTGAGTCCAGCTCAGGGTCATAAAGGTAATTAAGAGACTGGGGTATCTCTTATATGGGGAGAGTCTAAGAGATTTAACATTATATTTTCTTCAAGTAAACATATGTGAGCATACCACAGCAACCTTCCAAAAGTCAGTTCTGTTAAAGATTTACTTCCACTTAAAGTTACTTTCAGCTGTTGATATAAACTCCTTTTATGAACAGCTCTATGAGCTGATTTGAAAAAAAATATATATCACTGCAAGATACAACTAATAAATGAGGACAGTACAGGTATATGAAGATACATTTGTGCTATGACAAGGGAAAAATACTTGTCTTCAAAAAGTTATCAAGGTGCCATTATTTTTCATTTAGCAGTCTTTACTTCCCTTGACAAGCAGCAATTCTTCGCAGCTCCTGAAACCTCTACAAAAATAATTTTCTGTTATTAATAAATGCTAATACTGCATTTGCCATAGCAATTGATAAAACATTTGTAATCATAATTTTAAGGATTTCCAATGTTAGTTAAAATAGCCAAAATATTTACATCATTCCTTTTGTTGGTGACCAAGTGAACTTTTGTGCTTCTGTATTTTGCAGTTGTCTGCTTTTTAGAAAATGAGCAATAATCTTGTGAAAATCTTGATATATTAAAGAGGCAGAACAACTTCCTTCCCTCAGAATATTTCAAGAAAAAGAATAAATTAACAACCATAAAAATAAACCTTTAATAAGGAGAGAGCTTACTTATCATATATAAGTACCACGGTGGATAACGTTGGCAAGGAAGTACTAAAGGAGGGAAAAGGTGCTTTAAATGGAAACATTTTCTTCTGTGTCATGTTGTAAATTTAATGTTGATATTCTTACTTCTGTTGAGAAGGAATATGTTAATCCTAGACCGATCTATTTGAAGCCAACAGAGGCTATGCCAAAGTGGTCAAAGAATGCACCTGGGCTGCATCATCATCCTACGTTATGACATTTGTCCAACATACAGACATTTGTTGTTTCCTCCCACACACACACCTTGCAGGAGAATGTGTGGGAAATCTGGACCATAGAAGAGCTGCAGTGCTCTCTGGTGAGGTCCATAGTGTTGTGGGGTAGAAGGAAAGAGGCAACAATCCTGCAGCACAACAAGTAACTTACAGGCAACTAGTTTTAGCAGAGGAGACTTTTAGATGGAGAAGATACTTTACTATTCACTCAGTGCAAATGTAGGTAGCAAGAAGCCCAAGTCTCAGAAGATTTAGCAATTATACAAAAGGTTGGATAGGAGGGTAGAAATTCATATCTGAACTTGGTGACCAGGCACATTTGTGAACTTGTGTCTGATTCTTGAGCAATTCAGCAGACAGTGGGATGAAAGCCTATTGCTACAGATAAATACTGCAATTTTCTACAGTAATCTCTGAGAACGTTTGCATTCTTTAAAGGCACACCTGAGCAAGCACAGTTCAATGAAATTTCCTACGACTCAGTTACTCAAGTGTTGACTCAGTGAATAGAGTCCAATGCATTCAGCTGAACATTTCTGAACTTTTCCTGCCAGATGGAAAATGGTTTAATGGCAAATGGATGACTTGAAGAACTGGCAGTTAAAAAAAAAAGCCACAATTCTTCTTACAATATACTGAAATCTTAAACGTAGGTAAGTCTACACAGATATGCCAGCATCTACATTGCCAACTAAAAAAATTAAATAACAGACAGGAAAAAATATTTAGAACCTAGGATTTTATTTTAAATATTCACTCTTTCAGCTGATATAAAAATATCAAGATTAATCATTTCATTAAAGCAAATGTCATTGCTAGACATAACTGAACAAATTTCCTTCTTAGTAACTCAGGCCATGAGTGTATCAAAGTAAGGGAAGAACCGAACCAACATCAAACAAAGAAGAATTTGGGTCAGTAAACACTAAAAGGATATTGCATTAATAAAATGTTTGATTTACCTGTATGTTTATATAATTAATAACTAAATTGACAGATTAAATATTTTAAACACAGATCACGAAGACAGAGAGCTTTCAAAATCCCACCATGATTTAATTCAGTGATTTTCATCAGGAAGATACACAGAAAAACTCTTAGTGCTGGCAATAACATAACTCAGTTTGGGACAATTGGGAAACACATTAATCTGTTTTGTGGCAACAGCCAAATGGAAGTAGAAAAATGTAGTAACCAAAATGATCCTCAAGATTTTCAGTATGTAAGGAATTGTGAACCGTGCACAATACTCTACAACTATATTATTTATGAACATTTAGGGTAATGATAGTTCATGAAAGCTTATGAAAACTATAAAAGATACAGCCATGCTACATGCATCTTAATCTACAGCCATGCATTCTCAATAAAGCCCATGGAGACTGCATAATTTCTAAGTTTCAAGCAAAAAGCAAAATAAAAAAACGCTTGCAAAAAACACTGAAATCTTAAGTAGTATTTTTAGATTATTTTTAAAATTTAATTCATATTTTAAATAATGCTTGACATGTTACACAGTAAAAAAATTAAACACGCTGAACCATCCAGTGGTTCACATATGAAGAATGACATATAAAAGAAATATCAATGAATGAATAGCAGAACCTTGTCATTCACCATTACTTAGGACAGATACCATGGAATAATCAGGGAAACCGTGGGTTTTCACAATGCACTCTCCAAAACCAGTATCCTCAATTTTCCAAAATGGTATAAAGAAAAAAAACCAAACAAGCAAAAAAGAAGAAGAAGAAAGCAGGACCATGCTGTTCACCCACGCACCTGGAGGAACAACTCCAATACCATCATCAACATCATAATCTGAGATGTCACTATCACTGATTGGCCGAGATCCTGCACAACAGTAAGGTAAACAAATACCTGAACATCTGGTCGTGTCATAAATGTAAAAATATGCTCATTTATTGTACTACTGAAATTAAAAAGATTTTAAGTCTAAACAATAGAGGAGAACTGAACTGCAGTGATTGACAGTGACATTTCACAAGATAGGTGAGTCAATTTAACATCTTACAGCTGCTGCGGCCCCCTTTCCCCTTCTCCTCCCCTCACATCCTCAGTAATCCTCTACTAGAATAGTTTATCTTACTAAACTAGCAATAAGTTACCTCAAAGGAAAAAGAAATACTTATGTGCTATTTCAGTGAGTAAGCTGAATCAACTCACTGAACAGGAAAGGAGAGGTGGCAGCATATGGTGAGAAAGCAGAAGAGGAAACAGCACTGCCAGCTTTTAGAAAAGTTCAAATATCTTATGAAAACTAACCTTTAATTTGGTCTTTCTATACATATCCTCATGCAGCAGTTCAAGCAGTATCACATTTTTATAATTCATTCTGAATGTGCACCAATTTGCTACATGTTGGCTGGAATGAATGACTTCCATGTTTAAGAAAATATAGAAAAATAGCTTGGAAACATATTTTAAAATTAACCTCTATGTCCTTCATATTTCTACCTAAATCTTACATTCATTTAAATGAGCAGACATGCTACAATAGTTGGATATTTAAAGATATTCATTATTTGAATATGCTTCATACAAACCTGAAATCAGACTCATCAGAACAACTGTACCTCCCAAATACACTCCTAAGTTTTCTCTTTGCTGCAGAAGTACACTTCTCATCTGCTTGTATAATAAACATATTGGAGGTTAAGACTAACTTTATGATGAAGTGTTTTTAATCCTCTTAAGTCTTCAAGGACTTTCTTTTTTTAAATAGAAAGCTTTTAATTATTAAAGAAATATCCAATAATGGTGAATTTCATCCTTCTATTTGAAAGGAAATTCTATGAAATAGTATTTTTACTTTCCCTATATAAGTTAAATACTGTTCCTCCATATCCAGCACTTCTAATTTAAAATTTAAAACAGAGTAATGGAATTTGGACCTACTTTGTAATTTTTTGCTAGTGCTTTCTCCACCATGAACATGTCTTCTTGGCATGAAAGGTGATGGCTGAGGCAGAGGTAGTGAAGATTCATCATGTGTCTGTAGCTTATACCAATGTGGTTCATCGTCTAAAAGTGCTGTCTCCAGCTCTATAAGAATCTAGTAGAAAAATTATCAGGTTTTAATTTTACTTCCAAGGCACACACAGAGAAACACATATGTATTCAAAACTAAACAACGAACTCAGGAGAAAGGGGATTGTGTGTATCACCTCTCCAAGAAATTCACTCTCTTCTTCTTGTACTCTTGGCTGATCCCATACAGTTATTTCAAGCATTCGTTCTCTAAAATCTCTCCGATGTACATGTGAGTACAGAAAAGTTTGGTTCCATTTGGGCTCTAGACTTTTCTTTACTGTTTTGGTCCTCCTTTTACTCTTATCACTGAAACAAATATTTGTTGTAAATTGTTTGTACAGATAAATCACAAAATGTCATCTGCTCATTAACACTGCTTTAATATTTTCTGATTTGATAATGCCTAAAAGAGAGAAGTATTTGCTATAGAGTGGATCACATTAATCCAAAAGTCCACAAAGTTAATTTGATACTGACCTGCACAATTCAAGTGCAATTTTTTTGTTATACTTCATTTAGCTATAAAAAATTATAAAAAGGATTATTTATTTCATAAGCATCATTTAAAAGTTGATTCAATACATGGTAAATCACAACACAGTTTTTTAAACTGAAATACTACCTTCTGTCTGGAAGAAAATACATTTTTACATAGGGATTTCTGGGGCGTCCATCTACTCTTGGTGGCAAATCTGTTGCTTGCAGAACGTTTACTATTAACTGATGTCCCACCTTGTCATACCACAGTTTAACCTACAAGAATCAAGTTATGAGAAAACATTACTGAAAAATGTAGGGGAAAAAAAGATTTTTCAGACTGTATCACAATAACCACAATGTAAAAGTAACCACTGTTTTTTCCAAGAGACAATGAGAAATATTTTCTTCTAAATACTTTAATATTTAATTAAGTTAGCTGGAAAAGATGATGGTATACACCGAAGACTTCTGTATTTACCACAGCTGAGTAATATGGTGGTATTTGATTGTATTTACAATGTTTAATTGTAAATACACTGAAAAAGGAAGTCCTGACTGCAACTAAGCTCAAGTCATAGCTGACGTCTACTCTGATCTGTCATACAAACATAGTTATAAAAAGTATAATAAACAGTGAAATCATTTAGGAGAATCATAATGTTAGGAATTTTTTTAGCTTGCTGTACACTTAGAAATGAATATGATCAATATAAAAAAATATAAGACTGTAAAGAACAAAGTGTAAGTATTCACAGCATATTGAACAAGCATAGCTTCAATGAGTACTGTAGCCAGTTCCAGGATGTAATGTGTATCTAAATCAAAACATATTGCTGATCTTAAGAAATTACTGACTCTTAAGAAATACACAGCTCTTCAAACGCTCCCGTAAAGAAGATAAAGTCACACTAAGCTTGTTAGCTGCAGGTTACTGGGCTTGTACAGAAGAGTCACAATTTCCAAAGCAAAGGTTATAGGATGACAATTTAAAAGACACTGTTATGGGATCCTCTCAGTGTAAATTCTTGCACTCTTTGCTGTATTAAGACAATTCTTTACCACTGCTGTGTTTAGTTATGGTTTGTGAGCATGTGCAGAGGGTCTAAAAAAACACCTGAAATGATATTAGTCTTGACCAAAACAGACATTTCTCTTGACCTTCCAATACACCTTGGGAATGCAGAGGCTGAGGGACCAGCACTTCAGAGATTTTCATTAACTCAGAAAAAACAAAATATGCTCACAGAAAGCTGCCCTGGTAGGACCTGTGGTGCATCCCGTAGGGCTCCAGGGCTGGTCGGAGATATAACAGAAATAGAAGGCCTTTCCATCTTCTGAGATTCAAAAGAACTTGAACCTAAAACCAAGTGAGAAACACATGAACTTTCCATCCAAAAATCTGAATCAAATTTGGATAATTTATGAATTGATTTATCTCTTATTTGTATAAAGTTTGTATTTATACACAGTATAACAGGATTAATACACAGAAAGATCTTAAACTGATGTAGATAGCATGAGGAAAAAGACTGTCTGGATACCCTTACCTCAGGTTAAAGCTGAAATTTTTTTTGTTTATTTGTAGTAACGTAAGAAAAAGTGTTCCTCATGTAGCAGTGAAAAAAATACTGTCATCTCAGAGAATCACATCTTCCAACCCAAATTATTCTATGAATCTGTGATCTCAAACCTTTGATGAATAAACCCACATCTGTTGTATGGATTACACTTCAGTGGTCTATGAAATTTTAACTGCCAAGGAACTGGCACACAGGAAGGTACGCAGGACGTATCTGGCATGGATGATGCTCTGGTGCCTGCTGGACATAGGAGTTCACCAGCGAAGCAGAGCCCTCACTAGTGAGATAAGCTCACGACAGATATAACAACACTTAGTGGCCCCACAGGACCCAGTCTCAGTGAAGGTTTCTGGCTGCATCTCAGACCAGGCTCAGGTGATAAAGGACTGGGAGCCATAGCCCTCACATGTCTGTCACGCTGACACCTTTTTAAATGATACAGTTCGAAAGAAAACCGCTGCTCGGAAGCATGATACACAAATAGTTCACCTAACCAACTTTTTTTTGTTAAGAAAAAGAGAAACAAGAACTCTGGACTTAAGATGGATGGTGCAGGAAATGAAATCCTGACACCATCTGTACCTTTGGCAATCTCATATATATTTTCCGTCTCCTGTTAGGGCAAGTAAGTGTTCGGGGCCACAGCATGTGTATTAGTATGGTACTAACCTCCAAGATATAGAAGAAAACAAGAAAATTCTGACTGAAATCTGTGTAGCCTTAAGCAAATCTATGTTTCGAATTTAAGACAAGACAAAACACATTGAATTTTGCCATAGAAAAACCCTGGAGCCAGTGCAGTCTTAAAGTGCTCACCTTTCAGAAAATTCACAGCTGAAATGATTATGCTATGTCTAAGACCATGCTTAGTGAAAGGGAACAGGTGTGTACTCACTGGACTCTAACGGGGGGTGAGAAGTCTCAGGTATCCGTGGAATATCACTAAAACATGAAGAGACACATAGCAATCAGAAACAGAGACGACCTTCTGCTGTGACACTGGAACGTTTTTTTTCAGAAATATGGATCTATTTCTGTTCTAGTGGGTTATAAGGAAAGAAAGGGGAAATATTTAAAGACATACTTTCCACACTCACTAAAATCCTACTAATGCAAACTACTTCTTTCAAGTTAAGGAACTAGCAGGCGCGACAATGTAAGCACTACAATATTGTGAATGGATTCCACGATATTTTTACAACCACAACAAGAAAGTTAGAGAGTTTTTTGGAAAAGAAAGGTGGCAAAAGTTAGTATAGCTATGGATGTTCAACTACTTTTTTTTAAAAAAAGAAAAGACATATTAACTCACTAGTAATTTTTATATAAACGTCTCAAGGAATTCATGGAATGAAACTGATGAAAATGTCTTATAATAAGAAAATAGAAAAAGAAAATAAAGTTAGCAATGTTAAACAAAAAGAAAAAGCAATTAACACTAGCAATATCAAACAATAATGCATTTCTTCAAAGGCTAAAAAAAAATAATCAAACCATATTATGATTGGGTATAGACATTTTTCAACATACACATACCAAATACATACACAGGTATAAGCAAAATCAAGCTGGTTAAGTCCACGTACATCCATCAAAATTTTTTCATCAACAAATTTACTCTTCTACCACAATCTGAATGAGAATAGCTCCTGGCTCTCTTCTGTTCTGAGCAATCATTGACAACACATGGCAAGAGCAAGAAACGACTGTTACTGTACAAATGTTAACAAAGCAGTAGAGTATGAGAATGGAAACAAAGCTTTTCAGTGGATTACCTGGAAATATTTTCAGCTACAGAAAACAATTCAAAAAATGGAACTACAATAATATTTCTGAAGAACATTTACAAAATTTTATGTCTAAAGCTGAGCACTTTAAAGGTATTCAGGCATTTGTTCAGTGAAACGTTATCTTATTAACTTTCAAGTCCATAAAACTAAGACTCCTAGGTATATAAAAGTCATTTATGAAAAAGAAACAGACAGTTAAGTTAGAAAAGGAAACTAAGAGTGCCAAATAAATTAGCCTGAAACTCACTTTTCAGGTCCTGCAATTCAAAATTCTGGTGCCCAAGTTTTAAAAAAAGCTTATTTCAGTTCCAAGTTAATGTCTCACATCAGCTTACATCTCACATCACTAAACAAGAATGTGCTTCTCTTTGCTTTGATTTTGTAAGTCAAGAGCAACATGGCTTCCCCAAATGAATGGAAATATCACTGCATTACTAATTTTTGACATGGCATAGTACTATAAAAATATATAAATAGATTAACACAGCAGGGCTGCTGTGCAGACTCTTCCTCTTAACATTTTCTCTCTTTCCAGGGCAAAATTTCTAGGGCAACTCCCAGCAGTCTGAAATATTTACTCACCATATCGAAACTGATTTTTTCTATTCAATACAACATTAACTTTGTAATGTTTTCTTGTGCTAGACTGAATACTCTGATCTAGCATTGTAAGAGCATCACATCCAGGATACCTGAACAAAGGCTCATATGTGCAAGGAGCGTTCAACTTGGCAATTGCAACCTAACAGTGTCTAGTTTCAAAATCCCTGGGTAGGTGAAGACTGACATTAAAACCAATTTTGTTTGGAGTTTTTTCTGTATTGTTGCCAAGATAGTAGACAAAAAGGCTAAAAATAAGCCTCAAATACTACTTATATATTTAAGCCCTTAAGAACTGATATATATTTACACTAAGGCACCTTCACACCATTACACCAACACAGAAAAGTGTACTAATACATCAACACAAGAATCAGATTCACATAGTTTAGAAAAGGAAAAAACAGATCCTGGAATGAAGATTCCACATCATGAGAAAGAAGAGTCAAGCTGAGAGTATTCTCCTCACTTAGACCTGGTGATACGAAAATCCTCACCAGGAAAAGATAAGTGACAAATATAATCTGATTTTCCTTAAGACTTTACTCATCAGACAGTAAAGAAAACAAAGAATTTTTTTTTTTTTTTAATGTATTTTTCTAAACTCCTTCTAATTCTTATAAAAAACTGCCAGGAACAGTGGGAATTAGAACATAAATTTCAGCTTCAGACAAAATGCATAGTTTGCAAAAGAAATATTAGTTGAAATCTTTAAAATTTTACACTACAACAGACAACTTTCTTAATATATGTATAAAATTTATATATAAATAAATCA